TTTCTGGAAAGCACTGGAAGGGCTTTTCTCTTTTTTCCCCTAGTCCATTTATTTTTAATTAAAATCTTTACAGCTTTATAGAGGTACAACTGACAGAGTTGCACAGGCTGTCAGTTCTTCGCAGATTTACAACACACAAAATGATGTTTTGACACATATACACTGTGAATTGATACCATAATCAGGTTAATTAACACATCTATGGCCTCACATAGCAGAGTGGGATGTGTGTGTGTGAGTGTGTGTGTATGTGTGTGTCGAGAACAGTTAAGATTTACTCTCTTTAGTTTGGGCCTATGAGTTGATGCGCTGGAAAATAGCAATGACTCAGGAAAAAAACATTAACCTGTACTTGACTTCCGCAACATCTATATAACCTGAAAGGGTTTTCCTTATAAAATCCAGAGAGCAACCAAACTCCAGAGAGCTACCAGAAATAGCGGCTGATGGATGCTTTGGTGGCGGGTGTGGAATGGCAACCCATATCTGAAGAAGGATGAACCTACACCTCTGAGTCGTAGGCAGTGTTTTAAACCAGTGTTACCTCAATGAAAAATATGCAATTAAAACAAAACAACAAAGATTTATTCTCTTGGCAAGTTAAAGTATTATTGATTGAAATGCAGCATTAAGGACCCTAGTGCTGTCCTCACAGAGGATGGCCGAGCAAGTCAACAGCTGCCACTTAGTCTGGAGGACCCAGAAAGTGTGTTCCGGGTGCTTTTACTCTGACTCCGGGGCGCCAGATCAGACCATGGATTCTCATACGCAATGAAGAGGTGATCATTGCCTTCTAAGCACCCTTTCTGCTGCACCCGCACGTTTCAACATGTCCTGTTTTTGTTATTGGTCATTTCCAAGCATTTTCTAATTGCCATTGTGATTTCTCCTTTGACCCGTGGATTATTCAGAAGTGTGTCACTTAAGTGGGTAAGTGTACAATTACCTTTTTGTTCTTGGTGCCAAGTCTAATTCTACCCCGGTCAGGGAACATACTTTGAACAATTTCGACACTTTATGGCCCAGAACACACAGGCCGATTTTGGTAAATACTGCAGGTGCCCTTGAAAATAATGTCTACCCTGTTGCTCAGCGCAGACTCCTCATCTGCCAACCAGGACAAATTTATTAACTGTGTTATTCAAATCTGTATCTTTATTGATGCATTAGTCTGTCAACTACTGAAAGACACTTTTTTTTAAAGATTTATTTATTTAGGGGCCTCCCCGGTGGCGCAGCGGTTGAGCGCTGGGTTGCGAAGCCGCCCGCAGCCTCTGCAGCGCCGGTTCGATCCCCGGCTGCTCCCGGGCCTCCGGAGGAGGGTCCCACATGGTGCGCAGACCTCTCCTGCTGCCCGCTGCTCCCCTCAGCAGTGTCCTTCGGTCCTTCTGCCTGCTCTGCTCCCCGCTCTGGCTCTGGTGAATTCTCTCACCCTCCCGCGCTTCTGACTGTACCCAGTGCTTGTATAAATGAATGAATAAATAAATAAATAAAATACAAAAAAAAAAAAAAAAGATAGCTTCCCTTTTAAAAAAAAAAAAAAAAAAAAAAAGATTTATTTATTTATACATGCAAGATCTGGGGTGCAGGCCACAGGTGTGGGGGGTGAGAGGATTCACCAGAGACAGAGTGGGGAACAGAATAGGTGGATCTACTGAAATCCACTGCTGAGGGGAGCAGTGGTGAGACAGGAGAGGTCTGCTGCACCATGTGGGTAGCTCCCTGGCTGGCCGGGGATGGAACTCATTCTGCAGAGGCTGTGGACAGCTTCATAGTGCTGCACTTAACCCCTTGCGCCACCAGGGAGGCCCTGGAAGACACATCTGAACGTCTCCTACTGAGACTGTACAAGTGTCTGCTTGTTGTTCTTTCAATTTTTGCTATTTAGACTCTGAGCCCATGGTTGTTTTTTTTAACTTTTTAAAAAGATTTTATTTATTTATTTATAGAAGAACTGGGGTACAGGCCAGATGCACGGGAGGTTGAAAGGATTCACCAGAGACAGAGCAGGGAACAGAACAGGCAGACTGATGAAATACACTGCTGAGGGGAGCAGCGGGCGCACAGGAGAGGTCTGTCGCACCTGAGCCCATGTTTTAAGGAACATGCACATTGACAATTACAATCTCCCTTGGCGGGGCCGCTGCTGGCATCATGAGAGGGCCTCCTTTCATCTAAAAATGCTTCTTGTCCTCACACCAGCTTGGAGAATACCACTCAGCTACCAAAAAAGGATGAATTCCAGCCACTTGTGACACCACGAATGGAAATGGAGGGGCAGCTGCTAGCGACAGGGGTGACCTTTGCGTTGTCAAGTCTCCCCCACCTCTGTGGGTGTCTCAGCTGCAGATGTGACTCAAAGCTGCCTCTTCGGTGGGGAGGCCTGACACATCAAAGTGCCGCCTCCGACGCAAAGACCAACCCGGGTCTTTCGGCCGCAACCTTCTGTCTGAGCCACAGGCCGCTGCAGCAGCGCGCTGGGCGCTCCCCAGTCCGTGGAGACCCGCGGTCCTTGCGGCCTGTGGGCACCGGGCCGGGTTGGGTGGGGTTGGGGGGTGGTGCGGGCGTCCCCGGGGAGGCGGCGCCCTTCGTGGCTGCCAGGCCAGGCAGGACGCCCCTGCGGGCGTCACGTCAGCCCCGACGGCAGCCTCACCCAATCTGCGCCCCGGCAGGCCTCTGGCGTCCACCCGCGTCGGTGGGGTTCGTGGCACCCCGGTTCTCGGCAGCATCACCCACCAGGCTTCGGGGTCAGGAGAGGCCGCGTGGCTCGGGGTGGCTCGTCGCCCTGACCCCTGGCAGCGGCCTCCGCTGCTCCCCGAGACGTCGGGGGCGCCGAGGGCACCCGCAGGCCCGGGCTGTGCGCGCCGCGAGCTCGCCCTTGAGTTTCCCGCGTCAGCACCAGGGAGCATTTTGCCCGTGATGTGCAGCCTGGCGGTTTCTCTTTTACAGGGAATAGTCGAGAGGAGCGCACCGTCGTCATTCACAGAACTGGGTTTCTTCCAGCCTTTTACTAATTGTTTTCTGCTTGATTCACCTGCCTTAGTTTCTTTCTCTCTTTTATTGCATGTTTAAGTCATTCTATATATTTATTATTTTACTTCCCCCTTATAATAACTTATCAGTTATGGATTCTTTCACTACTCTCTTGGGGATAACCCTGAGGTTTACAGAGTCAACTTGGACTTACTAGAGTCTAACACAGAATTTTACTTTTACCACATTCTCAATGCCGGGACCCTCGGACATTTGAAAGCCATTCATCCCCTTCCCTGGTGGTCATCCAGAGAGCAAGACCAAATAATTGGGGGAGGAGACAGGCCTGGGAGTGTGGGAGACTCGCTCTTGGCCCAGGGAGAGCAAAGTCCCTGCAGATCCCCGAGCCCCCAGCCCTCTCCTAAGACTGTGCCCCGAACCCCTCTCCCTCTCAGCACAGAAAAGGCCAAAAAGCCCATAGATAACAAACCCCTTACCCAGGATTTTGTTTGCTGCTTGAGAGTACCTGGTGCTGTTGTTCGAGCAGTAGGGATTGGCCAATTCAAAGGCGACCCCTGCGTGCCAAGAGTGTTAGGGTTTCAAGTAAATACCCGGAGTGGGGGGCTGGCAAGTGAGCCTCTATCTCCACAGCCTAGGAATGTCACAGGAATGTAACCCCACAGGAGGGGGGGGGGCAGGGAACCTGGAACTTTCCCTTTTCCTGGGCACCACCCTGTCACAGGAAGGGCCAGTCGGAACCATCCAATTTTACCGCCTTTTGAAGAGATCACTCTGTCCACTGCCGTGTCTCCCAGTTCACAAGCCGTGAAGCTGACGTTCCTGGACTACTCTCGCAGACAGAAAGTGAGCCTCTGGCGTGTTAAGTGGCTGGACCCCCATTATAGCTGCAATTTGGGGGCCCCAGACATCTCTCTGTCGCATGCTAACAATGTCAGCAATGCAGAGTGTAAATGCAAAGCAACGGAAGAGACAAAAACCCGCCCTGGAAATCTGACTGCGGAACAGAGGCTCCCGGGCCCAGTGGACATGGGGGGCTGTTCACCGGCGCTGTGGTGGGGGGCACGGGCAATAGCACATATGTGTCGTACATCAATGTTACTTCAATAAACAAAATTTAAAATTAAATTCTGCAGAAAAAAATATTTTAGTAGCCAGAATATGTATTTTTTAAAAAAACAACCTCCTACAAGTTGCCAAGAAAAAGCAATAATACAATAGAAAAATGAACAAAAGATATGACAGGCAATTCACAGACAGCGCAAGTAGTCCATCATGTGTAAAAAGATGTTCAACCTCGGGCCTCCCTGGTGGCACAGACGGTTGAGCGCCGCACTGTGAAGCTGTCCGCAGCCTCTGCAGTGTGGGTTTGATCTCGGCCGGCGGGAGAGAATCCCACATGGCGCACAGACCTCTCCTGCCTCGCCCGCTGCTCCCCTCAGCAGTGTATTCCGTCAGTCTGCCTGTTCTGTTCCCCGCTGTCTCTGGTGAATCCTCCCACCCTCCCGTACATCTGGCCTGAACCCGGTTCTTATATAAATAAATAAATCTTTTTTTTTTTAAAAAAAAAGGTATTCAACCTCAATAATATGGAAAATGCAAATTGTAAAACTTCATAGTTCATCTTATTCCTGTCTCTTCCCAGGTGCCCTCCAGCAATCAGAGGAAAGTAGGTTTATCTTTCTTCCAGTGGATATATGGACCTCTGTTATTGTCAAAAAAGATATTTTGAATTAATGAAGTAAGAAATGGCCAGGTGGGAATTAGAAAATAGTGGCTCACAGGTGAGTTGTATTAAAGGGATAAGATGAGTTCTTCTTGGAAATCACGGAGGAAGTTGGGCTTAACACCTCCGGGCTAAACTTTTTTGATCTGATGTTTGGTGATTTTAAGAAAAGTGAATTATGAAAATGAGGAGGGACTAAAGCCTAAGCGAGGGCTGCCCTGACCTTGCGGGTCTGTCTGGCTCTCTCCTCTGGGGTCCTGGCAGCTGACCACTCAGGAGGTTGGAGGGGGCTGACTCCGTCAGACGAAATGAAACTGAAATGAAAGTTCACTTCCTCATTCAGTGCCTCATGTGACAAGTCCCGATTTCTTTTTAAACTCACTTGAGCAGGAGCCCTTTTCCTGACTGAAGTCTTTGGCAAGAGCCCACCTTGAGCAACCGGCCATGGCAGCCCACGCGAGTCCCTTCAGGTCCGTATGTCTGTTCTTCTTCGTTTTGTCCTTACAGTCTGTCTTCCTTTCTGTTTTTCTTTTGCTTTTAGGAAGTAAACAAACAGAAAAAAAACCATGTCGTTGACTTTACCTCCTGTTTTTTCGGTGAAAGGCAATCCCCCTTGAAAAGTTAGTGTCTGATGGACAGCTAAGCCTGAGGCTGAAGTGCAGCCTCCTTTGAAATTTGAAGATTTACCGGTTTAACTGCCAACTTCCTTGAATTCAAAGGAAAGTAGAATCCAGTTTGCGGGAGTTAGTCACTGAATTTCCGGTGGTCTCTTTGGAGTAAACTTACAAGTGGAGTTTTCAAAAGTAGTTAATTGCTTCCTTTAAAATAGATATTTTGATTGTTGGGAAAAAAGCTTAAAAAAAGAAAAATGACCCAATGATGGGAAAGCAATCCATGGGAGTTGCCTTGTAACTACCTCTAAAGGGTGTGGATATTTAAATAGACTGGTTAAAAACTCCTGTATTCAATCATTCAGATAATAAATTATAATAATCATTATCGTTTATAGTATATTTTATAATAGTATAATAATTTTATAATCTGTATAATTATATAACTGTTACAAGTACATTTATTATAGTTATTTTAATATATGAATTTATTATTTAATGTAAGTGATATAAAATATATTTAATATAATTTTAATATTAATGTAAATGTTTATTATAAAAGAATATGAGTATTATTTATAATAAGTAAGTGATTATACGAACTATACAGAAAGCACACTGATTTTCAAAGGTTTGTCTTCTTTTTAAGGATTTTTTTTAAAGAAGGAAAGAGGATTTCCCCGGATTGTATTTGCTATTCCTGGAAATCCCCTGCTTTCCTTCCCAGCACCTCTTCCCACGACATTTGGATGTAAATTTGATTAACCAGAGATCAGGAAATTTCAAACAATCTCTTTTCAAAGCACTACCAAGTACTGGAAGCGATATTTCAGACCTAACTATGCAGGTGCCCCCTGTGACAACAGATCCCTGAGCTGTGCCTCCCTGTGTAAACTGTGTTGTTCTGTGGCTTTGACCCTGTCACCAGATTTGCAGCCGGTAGACGATCTTCTGTGCCCCTTTCTTCACAGGGTGCAGTGGCTGGTCTGGGTGCTCCTGGCCTGCCCCTTGGCGACGGCACAGCCGCAGAGAGACGCCACCCTGGATCGCCACTGGCTCCTCTGGAAGAACACCTACGGCAAGCAGTACACGGGAAAGGTAGACGCACCACCTGAGGCACTGCTTTTACCCCTAAATGCCCACTTGCTCCCCTCAAAGTGAGGCCTTACAGGCAGTGTTTCCAGTGTTAGACACTTCTTGCCAAATCCTACTCTGGAGGATACAGCAGAGAGACAAAACAGGAGGATAGAGCAGGAAACAAAACAGTTTCTGTTTTTGCTTTTGTTTTTGTTTTTATTTATGCACACAAGAGCTGGGGTACGAGCCAGAGGTGTGGGGGTGGGGGAATGAGAGGATTCACCAGAGACGAGCGGGGAACAGAACAGGTGGATCTACTGAAACACACTGCAGAGGGGAGCAGCGGGGAGACAGGAGTGGTCTGCCGCGCCATGCGGGCAGCTCCCTGGCCAGCGGACAGCCTCCCAGTGCTGTGCTCAACCCCTGCGCCAACAGGGAGGCCCCAGTGTTTCTGTTTTTATGGAACTTTTATTCCAGTAGAGACAGGAAATAAGTAAATAAATAAGTAGCTACACAGGGTATTCTTGATGATGGTGTGTTGGCGTTAGATGGTGCAGGAGTGAAAAATAAAGCAAGGCCAGGGCGTGAGGGAGCCCTGGGGATGGTTGTTGTGTGAATAGGATAGAAAGTTCAGAGACGTCTTCACTAAGGTGACCTTTTGAGCAGAGAATTGATAGAAGCCAGGAAGCACAAAGTCAGAGGAAATGAGAGCAAGTTTGAGGAACAAAAATGGCCGATGTCAGCCCCACTGCAAGGCTCACTGCAGATGTGCTCTCTTGGTTCTCACTTCCCACTTCGTACTTTGTTTTTGTTGCAGAGCACACACTTACTGAGTGATTCAAGGCCTACCCTTACTGCTTCAAATAACTAAGTCCTAGAACTATACATAATGTTTCTGAGTTTGGATGTGAGCATTAGGTATTTATGTGCTTGGTAAGAGTTTTCTAGGTGGTGATGAGTTTCACCTTCACCCACTCCCTTTCACACCAGGCCGCTAATTCGCTTAACTAGAATTAGATGTGCAGGTAGCACCACTGTCTGCTGAAGGGAATGCTGTCTCTCTAACAATTCCAGTGGCTTAGAAGGAATGAAGAGGGCTGGGTTAATAGCCTACCTTTAGAATCCATCTCAAAGGTCATTTTTTCCTTTTCTGTACTTCATTAGATTTGTTTGGCTTTATTCCATTTCTTCCCTTTGAGTGGTTTGGAAATAGAACTATACACGGCGTCATCGGGGGAACAATAAAACATTGCTCCAAGGGGGAAGAAGCTGCAGCCAGACTAACTACCTGAGACCAGGGTCTTGCCTGGGCTCTCAAACGAGGCAGGAAGGAGCTGTCGCCGACTGCTGTCTGGGCTGACTTTCTGGAAGCGGTCACCTTAGGGGGCAATTCAAGAAGGCGCCATGTAGCTTGTATTCAATGTACATTGTATTCTAGGTAAATAAAACTCCCGGAGGGCAACCAAATCAACAGTTACAATATGAATTTGCTCTGTATAAAATTAAAATAATAGAACTGAGAAAATTTTAAAAGATAACTATATATAATGGAATAACATCCACACAAATGAACAGGAAGTTGTGAAATAAATTATAAATCGAATCAGACATCTTTGAAATGAAGGATAATAGTCATAGAAATAAGAACTTAGCAAAAGGGAGAAACTCCAGGCTGAACATGGGCGGCCACACCCAGCCGTCTGAAAGGCAGCGCTCTGCCCTTTGCCCGGAAGGCAGCCCAGGAAAGAAAAGGGGAAAAAACTATGAAAATCCAAGGAAATAATTCCCAGGCCACCGTCCTACTCAGTGGCTGTCCCCAGACAAGGGCGAGAGCGGCCTCTGCCAGGCCCGACCTTCCGGCTGAGGTGGGATGTGGAAACGTCCGCCGAGGAGTGAGACGTTGTGGGCTCCAGAAAGCAGTTAGGAAGGAATCGTGATAAGGAATCGTGGCTCAACAGCCGCGCTCTGGCGCCCGGGGGCAGCTCCAAGGCTGGGGCGGAGGGGAGGCTGAAAGGATCAGGCAGGACGGTAGTTCTGTTAGGGGGAAATGATGTTCTTGTATCGGGGTTGCTCTACAACAGTTCGAGCCCAGGTCATTGGCTTGGAAAATGTTTCTTTCCGGCTTGGGTGACCTCTCCACGGGGCACTCCGAGTCACAGCACAGGAACCGTCGGTGCAGCTGCACCAAGGGTTCTGAAAGCTGCGGCTGCTCTGCCCAAGTGGTCATAAACACGCTTCAGATGGAAACTGGCATCTCCCTGAAGGAATGCCCGCTTCAGGGTGCTGGGGTACTTCACCAAGATGGCTTCAGAGCAGACTGACTTCACACACGCTTGGGAAGTCTGCACCGAAACCTGGTGTTGGAAATCTTTGTACTTTCCACCGAGCAGAACCTAACGCCACCTCTCACACCATTAGTCACGACGCGGTCCTCGAGTCTCTGCCCAGCACGCGAGTGTTGTCTGCACGTGTCTCCTTTGTGGCAGCCAGGCCGGGCCGCCCCGTGCACAGGCGCCCCGTCTCCTCTCCAGCTCTCCTCTCCTGCTAAGCTTCGTTTCCTGGCGGCTAATTACAACCTCCTGCCCCGGCCCACGGCTACTGCTGCTGGAACCAGCACAGCCACCCTGGTTTTGTGGTTTGGCAAAGCGTTGGCATCCACCATCTTAGGGGCAGAGCTTCTGCCTCCTTTTCATGGGTCCGGCCTTGGAAGAGTAATTGTTGTAGTGGCCAAAATCATTGCAGCTTTCCCCGCCTGCAGCACTGCTGCCACCATTACCAAATCCCTTGGAGCCAGCCCGCTGCCATCGCATCCACCACCACAGCTGCCGCCACAGCCACCTCAGCCACTGAAGGTTCCGCCATGACCAAAGTCATCATTCTCATCAAAATCACCTCCACGACACCAGCAAAGTTTCCAGAACCACCTCGACCTCTTTGGAGGGCTGAAGCGCTGGTCGTCTCTTGCTTACATAGGCGCTTCCTTCACAGTCGTGGCCAGTCACAGAGTGGAGTTTCTGAACGACAGGCTCGTCTGCAGAATCATGGTCATCAAAGGATACAAAAGCAAAGCCTCTCTTCTTGCCACGGCCTCCATCAGTCATGATTTCAATCACTTCAGGTGCCCACACTGCTCAAAAGCATCTGCTAGGTGATGTTCTTCAGTGTCGTCTTTAATGCCACCAACAAAAATCTATTCACAGTGAAGTGGTGTAGGGTAAGGAAAAAGTGTCAGGCTTTTCTGCCTCGCGCCATCAGGATAGATGAGGGAACCCTGAGGTCCCGAATGCAGGCCTGATGGCGGTACCTGCAGTGAGTGCACCTGGGCTGAGAGACTGAGTTGATAAGGGCGGCATCACAGGGATGCCAGCAGAAGCCAAGAACAAGCAGAAGCCGAGAGAGGAGCAGAGAAGCTGAGAGAGAAGCCGAGCCATGAGAAGAGCAGAGAGAACGTGAGAGAAGGCTGGAGAGTCCAGAGCAAAGACTTGCTGGGGCCTGGGAGGCCTACCGGCCTCCCAGCCCCCCAGCACCCCTGCCTGCCGTGTACCCAGTAAATCCCAATAAAAAGCCTGCAGAAACCCACCGAGGGCTCCAGGACTCATCCTCCTTTACCCCTTTTGTGACCTGCGTGGGATCATAGAAAACCTGCCCTGTGTCATTCCTGCCCCTGCAAGTGGGCATCAGTTCTTTGAGAATCTTCTGCTGACACAGCCCTCTTTGGTACCACAACTCTTCCACCCTCTTGTGTAGCCCGAGTTTCCTTTTCTTTTTCTTTCATGAGGTGGGTGGCTGCACCCACCTCCTCCAGCGTGGCAAACCCAAAGCATCTGGAACACCTGATGTTTGGCTCTCATTACCACAGTCTGTGAGCTTGTCCCATTGCTCAAAATGGCTTCTCAGAGGCTCATCAGTTGCTTCAAAGCTTAAACCTCTGATGAAGAGTTTCCACAGCTGCTCCAGCCCCTTGGGAGACTGACTTACAGACGAAGGTAGTGGGGAGGGAGACCTCTACGATGCTTGTTTGGCAGCGTCCATGGGTGGGCAGCTGAAATTTTTGAATTGGTTGACAACCGCCTCAGACAGAAGACTTCAGTGTGAAGTGTGTTGTAACCAGCAGAGAGCCTCTTGTTGATTTTGTAATCGCTGCTGAGTCAAACTACCTCAGCAATTCACCAGAAGTCTCAACAGGCAGTTAGAGATAAGATGGTCTTTGCTTCAGAGAAGATTCCACACTATTAGAGCACTACCCTTTTAAAGTAAATGTAGAAAAATTTTTTAATCTAAATTTAAATTTGCATTAGAAATCAGTGATCCTAGGGCCTCCCCGGTGGCGCAGCGGTTGAGCACTGGGTTGCGAAGCTGCCCGCGGCCACTGCGGCACTGGTTCAATCCCTGGCTGCTCCCCGGCCCCGGAGGAGGGTCCCACATGGTGCGCAGACCTCTCCTGCCGCCCGCTGCTCCCCTCAGCAGTGTGCTTCGGTCCTTCTGCCTGCTCTGCTCCCCGCTCTGGCTCTGGTGAATTCTCTCACCCTCCTGCTCTTCTGACTGTACCCAGTGCTTGTATAAATAAATAAATAAATCTTTTAAAAAAAAAAAAAAAGAAAGAAATCAGTGGTCCTATTAGTTATAACACATAAAATGAGAGCCCAGAGCCATTCAGTTACAGGGCTATAATTTGGACCTTGTTTACACACCAGGAAGGGAATGGGCGATTGCTTGGATCTGGACAAAGTGCTTTCCTCAGTGAGGCTGACATTGACAGAAGTTTTCAGGACATATGGTTGCTAATAATTTGCAAAATTCACGGGAGGAACAGTTGCAGACATTCTCCACATGGTTAAATATTCTGGTTCTGACATATATTTCATTTCAGAATCACATTTAAAATTACATTTAAAAATAGTGTCTGCGACTAAATATTTTTCAGTACATAAAAAAGGAAAATTCAAGTAAAGGAGATGAAAGAAACAGAGATTTCAAAATACATCTGATAGGAGTTTCTGAAGAGGAGAATTAGGTGGTATAGTAGAGAAAAGAGTTGAGATGATGGTTGAGATCTTTCCAGATACAAAAAAAAAAGTCTTGAGTACTTCAAACAAAAGTGCTCTCCTGTCACAAATACCCAAGAGAACAATGAATAAAACATACCCAGAAACATGGGCTGCAATTGCAAATCATAAAAATGATAAAGCTAATCACAAAAATTACAAAAGTTAAAAACAAATACAAAATGAGCAGGACAGACCAAAATGGCATCAGTGGAATTTCCTTGCTTTGCTCCTGAGAGTGTCATCTAAAAGTTAAGCACAGACACTGCACCCAGAGAGGCCCGTCCCTTGTTGTACCTAGTACACTCTTGGGAGGACTGTAACTGGCCCAGCCCTATGGGAAACAGTATGGAGGTTTCTCAAAGTAGTAAAAATAAGTCTGCCACGTGACCAGGCACTCCCACACCTAGGTATCTATCTGGAGAACACCAGAACACTAATTTGAAGGGCTCCATGCTCTCCTGTGTGCACTGCAGCACTATTCACAACAGCCGAGTGATGGAAACCACCAAGGTGACCAAGAACAGATGAATGAGTTAAGAAAAGTGTGGTTTCGCATGCACAATGGAATTCTACTCAGTTATAGAAAAAGATGAAATCTTGCCAATTGCAACAACATGACTGGAACCGGAGGTTCTGATGCTAAGCCAAATAAGTCTGAAGGAGAAAGAAATAGCAAATGAAGTCACTCATGTGTAGAAGAGACACAAACAAAGGAACAAACTAAAAACCAAACAAAGCCCTCCCCAAAGGGAGGGTTCAGGAGGTGAGGGAAGGGGTCTGGATGGAGGGCTGGGAAGGAGGGCCTGAGTGGTTTGGTGGTGGGTGGAGTGCAGTGTGACCCTCTACCTCATTTAACAAAAAGAAACAAATAACCCAATCAAATAATATATCTATGTTGGAAAAGGATGTAACCTCAACAAAATAACAGTGTAACTGGGGCAAAGCAGAGGTACAACAATTTGACAATAGACCTCTCATCTGCAACAAGGGATTCCAGAACACAATGAAGAAATATTTCAAGTTACTGAAGAAAAATAGCTAGAAATTTGTAATCAACACAACTACTTTTTTTTTAATAATAATAATAAATTTTATTTTTATATTCCCCATACAATTTCAACCCCTCCATTCTGACCCCAATCCCTCCCCTCCCTCCCCCCACCCCACAAAAAGTGTCTCTGGTTCATAATTTTTGTTGATTTTCACTTTCTTATAGTTATTCAATTTCCTGGTCCCTTATTTAAGTTTTCTAGATTCCTGCTATGAGTGAGACCATCCAGTATTTTTCTTTTTCTTTCTGGCTTATTTCACTGAGCATGATCCCTTCCAGCGCCATCCATGTTGCTGCAAATTGCATGTGTTTATCTTTTTTAAATGCTGAATAATATTCCATGGTATATATGGACCACATCTTCTTGATCCAGTCATCTATTTTTGGGCATCTGGGCTGTTTCCAAAGCTTAGCTATTGTAAATAGTGCTGCTGTAAACATAGGGGTGCAGGTGCTCTTTGGAATTGATGTTTCTAACACAACTACTTTTTAAGAGGGTAAAAGAGATTTTTAAAACACTCATCAAGGGCCTCCCCGGTGGCGCAGCGGTTGAGCGCTGGGTTGCGAAGCTGCCCGCGGCCTCTGCGGCGCCGGTTCGATCCCCGGCTGCTCCCCAGCCACCAGAGGAGGGTCCCACATGGCGCGCAGACCTCTCCTGCCGCCCGCTGCTCCCCTCAGCAGTGTACTTCGGTCCTTCTGCCTGCTCTGCTCCCCGCTCTGGCTCTGGTGGATTCTCTCACCCTCCCACGCTTCTGACTGTACCCAGTGCATGTATAAACAAACAAACAAACAAATAAATAAATAAATAAACATGCCTCTATTAAAAAAAAAAAAATTGGAAAAAAAAAATAAAATAAAAAAATAAAATAAAACACTGATCAAGATTAAGTGAGTTTACCACTTCAGCAAATAGCAGTTCCTAAAAAAGTTTTTTAACACATTGAGGACATTCATTATGTATATCATAAAATAACATTAAATAGCATCAAAGCAATGAAAAGCAAAAATTAAGATTAATATGTGAATTTTTTCCAGCTATATTGCATATGTTAATTTAATCCACATTCTCCAGGCAGATCCACATTTACCAGAATGTTTTATACCATATTTCTTTTCATTATTGAGCACTAATTTGTGCAGGATCCAGTATAACTGTATTCTTTTTCCTTATACTTTAGAATGAGGAAGTAGCACGGCGTCTCATTTGGGAAAAGAATCTGAAATATGTGATGCTTCACAATCTGGAACATTCGATGGGAATGCATTCATATGACCTCGGCATGAACCACCTGGCAGACATGGTAGGTGCATGAGAATTAAACCCCCCCCCATGCCTAGGTAAGCATGACTCCTGTCTTCCCAAAAGCAATTTGAAGGCAAACAACAAAGCAGCATTATTTATATGTGTACAAAGTGAAAAAACATTAGAATTTAAGGACATGATAATTTGTACAGATTCCTTATTTAATCCTGCCATGACCACTTTACTTAACATACCCCTCTTTAGAGAAATATTTTAAACTCACACACTACTATTGCTTATAATTTTTAATTGATTCTAGAAAGCATAGCCTAAAGATTGCTTGCAATCTTTTGTAGGAAGTTACCTTAATATTTTAAATCTAAATTGACAACTTAATACTGTCCACTGCTTTCTTAATGGGGGAGAGTGGGTATTTAATATCACAAATAATCTCCCATTAGTTTTCACATTTGTTCTAACCTATGAAACTTTACCATTGTGGCCAAAAATAAGGGTTATAGTGCCCCTAGGTTTACATAGTAAAGTGATGAAAGAAAAACACAACTAAGAATCTTATATCCAGAAAAACTACTTTTCAAAAATGAAGCTAAAATACATTCCCAAATTAAAGAAAACAGAACTTGTTGCTCGCAGAACTAGAAGAAACACTGAAAAATATCCTTCCAGCTAAAGCTAGTGGCCCAAGATAGTATCCAAATATATGCCAAAAAAGAAAAAGAAAAAAGAACACGAGTATGGTAGATAAAATAACTGCCCCCCCCCCGCAAAAAAAAAATCCATGTTCCAGAACCCATGAATTTGTTAGGTTCCCTGGCAAAGGGAGTTGAGGTTGTAGATGGAATTAAGGCTGGTGATGGGGAGATTGATCGGGGTGAGCACACGTAGTCACAGGCGTCCTTCTAGTGGAAGGGGGATCAGAAGGCAGAGAACCACAGAGAGGGCAGCGTGAGGACGTGGGCCCAACAGTGTTCCCTCTGGGGATGAAAGGCTGGACTGGGCCCAGGAGCAGGCTGGAAGCTGAAGTAGCAGGGAAACGGTTGCAGCCAGGCCTCCAGGAAGAAGGCGGCCCTGCAGATCCCACTGAGACCCACTTCAGACATCTGGCCTCCAGAAATGTAAGATAATTAACTTGTGTTTTTTAAACTGCTAAATTTGTAATCATTTGCCACAGCAGCAATAGAAAATCAACACAAGCAGTGAAGGAATATATGTAAATGCAAAGGCAGGATAGATGATAGATAGATAATAGATAGACAGATAGACAGAAGAAAGATGATAGATGGGTGGGTAGTGGATGGATGAATGGATGGAGATACACACAGACAGACAAAATAAACCCCCTGGAGGAACAATCTAGGTAGATTAAATACTGACCTAAGTGCCAGAATTTCCTTTGTAATTCGCACAAAGGAACCCAGTTCGGTCTATTTTAAATAGCCCTTTTATAAGATGTCTTGCTTAGAGCCAAGAATCTGCCTCCCGTAACTTCTAGTTTTTACCATTTTCCTCTTGACCTTCCCAACGAGAGGGCCAGGCTGGGATGCTAGCGCAGAGCCTAACACTGCGATGCAGACCCTCCACCCTCAGACAGTTAGCAGAGCCTGCGCTGGGCACAGCTGCCACTGACTTGTCCCCGCTGTTAACTCTATTGCAATTACTAGGCTGTTGATCAGACGGATATAAATGAAAGGAGATAAATGCATTTGCCTTGTAGACCAGTGAAGAAGTGATGACTTTGATGAGTTCCTTGAAAGTCCCCCCCCAGTGGCAGAGGAATGTCACGTACAAGTCCATGCCTAATCAGAAACTGCCTGAGTCTGTGGACTGGAGAGAGAAGGGCTGTGTGACTGAAGTGAAGTACCAGGTGAGTCACCCCCAGCCTCTGTACCCCAAGCAGCGCTCTCTTTTCCTTAAGGGCTTAGTTGAGCCACGGGACTTGGAGGTGAATTTCACAGGTGAATTTCTCCTTAGGTTACTTTCTCATTCTTTTTGCTATTCTTGTCTTCCCCGCTAAACTGTAAGTTCCTAGAGGGAAGGACCCCACATTCTACTTTAACCGTGTTCCCTACAGTGATTAGGACGCCAGCAACTTGAGCCACATTAGACGAAAACTGTGAACGAAGCAAATGGGTCTTTAAGACAAACTGCCTACTCGATGACTGCTGCTTCCATCAAACCACTGTCTTGAGAATCAGGATCGTGTGGGGCGGGGTACTGATCTGGAAGTTTCTTCCTCCTCTCAGTTGTGAATTTCAGGAATGAAAGAGAGGAAAGAACTAGAAGGAGAGTGGCCTGTCAGCTTACACTGTTAGGCTAAGAACGAGGGACTATATACATTTGTTTCTGTGCCTTTGCCGTTCCTTTAGTTTCCTTGTAAAAAAGAGAAGTTATCAAAATCCAACATGAGAGAGGGATAACTAAGAGTAAAAGACACATCAATCTATCACCTTAGAGGTCAAGGTAAGAGAGAAGAATCTGTGCTCCAAGTAACTGCCCTAGTTAGTGACCAATGAAGAATCGTAAAATTAAGACGTGGATGCTACTGCTAATATGCTTTTCCAGCTAGATATGGTTCTTTGGAAGTCTGACTACAACGTCTCTAAAATAAAAGTTTGTGAACACCAAAATAAACGACACATTTAGTTATTAACTACCAATAATTTAGTGAGCGCCTTTCCCGGGGTGCTTGCCTATGAATGCATGATTCTGCTTTAACCAAAAGCAAATTCAGTTTGCTTCTGTGGGGGAGGAGCAGGCAGAAGGAGAGCAATCCCCGTGAGCCCTGGCCCACTCCACCGTTTTAAACTAAATCGGTTTTGTGTCTGTCTGTTCCTGGGCTTCTCTGCAAAACAGCTTTTGACTTAAAAATTCTCAAGCTAAAAATGTTTGGAAGTTGCTAACCTTATATTTTAGGCATCTCTTGGCAGGAGGAAGGGTTAAGGGATCATGCAAGCTTCTCCCAAAAACACTTTATTTATTGTGGCATCTCCCCGTGGGGGTGAAGACTGTAGGGATCTGATGCGCGCCCAGTGGGGCCGTCAGCACCCTCGAGTGTGGCCTTACACTCTGCGTTTAGCCGTTTGCAAATCTTTCTCTAACTCGGACCTTCCTCAGGAATGATGAAGTGCTTTGTTTTCATGCCACTGTCCCAAAAAGAGAAACCTGCAGTGGCGGGACGTCTCCCTGGGGCTGACGGAGGCCCAGCGGGGGCCATCTGGATTCACTGTCTCTGAGTGACTTTGTCTCTGCTTCAGGGGGCGTGTGGTTCGTGCTGGGCGTTCAGTGCTGTGGGGGCCCTGGAGGCACAGCTGAAGCTGAAAACGGGGAAGCTGGTGTCGCTCAGCGCACAGAACCTGGTGGACTGCGCGACCCAAAAATACATGAACGAAGGCTGCAACGGAGGCTTCATGACCGAGGCTTTCCAGTACGTCATCGACAACAACGGCATCGACTCGGACGCCTCCTACCCGTACAAGGCCGTGGTGCGTCAGACTGTCTGGGCCGCCCCTTGACTCGGGCCCTGTCCCCACCGACTGCCGGGGAAGCATAGCCAGTGTGTGACAGAACCCCCGGAATCCCAGAGTTCTCGCTCTGTCAAAGCCTCCTTCACTTCTCTCTGTCACCATGGTTTTAGTTTTTAAAAAGATTTATTTATTTACTTATACAAGCACTGGGTACAGTCAGAAGCGCGGGAGGGCGAGAGAATTCACCAGAGCCAGAGCGGGGAGCAGAGCAGGCAGAAGGACCGAAGGACACTGCTGAGGGGAGCAGCGGGCGGCAGGAGAGGTCTGCGCGCCATGTGGGACCCTCCTCCGGTGGCCGGGGAGCAGCCGGGGATCGAACCGGCGCTGCGGAGGCTGCGGGCAGCTTCGCAACCCAGCGCTCAACCGCTGCGCCACAGGGGAGGCCCCATATATTTTCTTTTTTTTTTTTAAATAATAAATTTTATTTTTATATTCCCCCATACAACTGCACATGCCCCATTCTGATCCCAATCCCTCCCCTCCCGGCCCCCACCCCCCAAAAAGTGTCTCTGGTTCATAGTTTTTTGTTGATTTTGATTTTCACTTTCTTATAGTTATTCATTTTCCTGGTCCCTTATTTAAGTTTTCTAGATTCCTGCTATGAGTGAGACCATCCGGTATTTTTCTTTTTCTTTTTGGCTTATTTCGCTGAGCATGATCCCTTCCAGCGCCATCCATGTTGCTGCAAATTGCATGTGTTTATCTTTTTTGAATGCTGAGTAATATTCCATGGTGTATATGTACCACATCTTCTTCATCCAGTCATCTATTTTTGGGCATTTGGGCTGTTTCCAAAGCTTAGCTATTGTAAACAGTGCTGCTATAAACATAGGGGTGCAGGTGCTCTTTGGAATGGATGTTTCTGTGTCCTTTGGGTAAATACCTAGGAGTGGAATTGCTGGATCCTATGGAAGCTCTATGTTTAGTAGGTCCAGAAATCTCCACACAGCTCTCCATAGTGGTTGGACCAGTTTGCACTCCCACCAACAGTGCAGGAGAGTTCCTTTTTCTCCACACCCTCGCCAACATTTGTTGTTGCTAGTTTTTTTAATATGTGCCATTCTCACTGGTGTAAGATGGTATCTCATGGTAGTTTTGATTTGCATTTCCCTGATTACAAGTGATGTTGAACATTTTTTCATATGTCTGTTGGCCATTTGCATTTCCTCTTCAGAGATGTTTCTTTTTAGCTCTTCTGCCCATTTTTTGACTGGATTATTTTCTTTGTTGTTGTTGAGTCTCATCAGCTCTTTGCAGATTTTTGTGATCAATCCTTTATCATTAGTGTTGGGTACAAAAAATGTTCTCTCAGTTGGTGGGGTTTCTCTTTGTTTTTGTTATTGTCTCTTTTGCTGTGCAGAAGCTCTTTAATTTGATGTAGTCCCAGCTGTTTATCTTTGCCTTCACTATCACTGCTTTGGGTGATGTGTCTGTAAAGATGTCTTTGATGTGCACATCACGTAGTGTTTCGCCTATATTTCCTTCTATGTATTTTATGGTTTCAGGTCTTATGTCTAGTTCTTTAATCCATTTTGAGTTGATTTTTGTGTATGGTGTGAGGTAGTGGTCAAGCTTCATTCTTTTGCATGTAGCAACCCAGTTTTCCCAGCACCATTTATTGAACAAACTTTCTTTGCTCCAATGCATAGTCTTTGCTCCTTTGTCAAAGATTAGTTGACCATAAATCTGTGGGTTTATTTCTGGATTTTCTATTCGATTCCATTGGTCTGTATGTCTGTTCTTGTTCCAATACCATGCAGTTTTGATGATTATGGCTTTGTAGTATAGTTTGAAGTCTGGGAGTGAGATGCCTCCATTTCCTTCTTTTTTTTTTCAGTAGAGCTTTGGCTATTCGGGGTTTTTGGTGATTCCATATGAATTTCATCAATAATTGTTCTATTTCTTTGAAGAATGACATTGAAATTTTGATTGGAATAGCATTGAATCTGTATATTGCTTTTGGTAGGATGGCCATTTTAATAATGTTTATTCTTCCAATCCATGAGCAGGGGATGTCTTTCCATTTCTTTGTGTCTTCTTCTATTTCTTTTAACAGTGTTTTATAATTTTCTTTGTATAGGTCCTTTACCTCTTTTGTTAGATTTATTCCCAAATATTTGATTTTTTTTGTTTCGATAATAAAAGGGATGGTTTTTTTTATTTCTTCTTCTTCAGATTTATTGTTTGTGTATAGGAAGGCTACTGACTTTTGCGTGTTGATTTTGTATCCTGCCACTTTACTGAATTGATTGATAAGTTGAATTAGTTTTTCTGTGGAGTTTTTGGGGTTCTCTATGTATATTATCATATCATCTGCAAATAGTGATAGTTTGACTTCTTCTTTTCCTATTTGGATTCCTTGTATGTCTTTCTCTTGTCTTATTGCTCTGGCTAGGACTTCCAGTATTATATTGAAAAGCAGTGTTGAGAGTGGACATCCTTGTCTTGTTCCAGATCTTAATGGAATTGCTTTCAGCTTTTCACCATTGAGGATGATACTGGCTGTTGGCTTGTCATAGATGGCCTTTATGATGTTGAGGTATGTTCCTTGTATCCCAAGAATTTCAAGAGGCCCCATATATTTTCTTTAAATATATAAGTAATTCACACATTTTACAGAAAATTTTTAAAGATAAAGTATCACTCAAAAAACCCTCCTAACTTGGACCTCCCCGGTGGTGCAGCGGTTGAGCGCTGGGTTGCGAAGCTACCTGCAGCCTGTGCAGTGCCGGTTCGATCCCCGGCTGCTCCCCGGCCACCGGAGGAGGGTCCCACATGGCGCGCAGACCTCTCCTGCCGCCAGCTGCTCCCCTCAGCAGTGTACTTCGGTCCTTCTGCCTGCTCTGCTCCCCGCTCTGGCTCTGGTGAATTCTCTCGCCCTCCCGCGCTTCTGACTGTACCCAGTGCTTGTATAAATAAATAAATAAATATTAAAAAAAAGAAGAAGACCGAAGAACTAGTCTAGAACATATGACCTTTATGTAACATTTTCCCATGCTCCACCTCAGATTCTTGCAGTTCTCACAGGTATGCAGGTGTTCACAACCTGAAGTTGTAAAATGATTCTGTATTTTCTGTTATTGCTGAAGTGTGGGACTTCTGGCATCTGCAAGATTTAGTTTTTCTGTCTTTGAATGGAGCACTTAAATGAGGACAGAACACATCTTTGAAACCCAGACTTCGACGACTGATGATTTATCTAGTATTTATGGAGCAGAAGGCTTTACTTAATTTATACTCTTTCTTGCAGGATGGGAAGTGCCAGTATGACTCCAGAAATCGAGCTGCCACGTGTTCAAAGTACACCAGACTTCCCTATGGTGATGAGGAGGCCTTGAAAGAAGCAGTGGCCAACAAAGGCCCGGTGTCTGTGGGCATCGATGCCACGCGTGCATCCTTCTTCCTTTACAGAAGTGGTAAAGCCTCAGCTATGCTTCCCCTGTGTGCACCTTAACTTTGTGAGAAAGAACGTTATCTTTCCACATCATTCCACCTCTTAATGGTTAGATTAAGTTAGATAGAATCCCCCACTTCATGTAAGCATTTTATATACTTGGCTCTAAACAGCAAAGTAATAATTATCAAAAGTTACCAACTCCCCCTGCCAAGTACTGATGCTGAATTCTTTCTGTGCATTAGCTCATTTAATTCCCACAAAACACCTCTTTACAGATGAGAAAACTAAATCTTGGGGGGGTTCGCATGCCTGGGGTCACATAAATTGAAGGTGGTCAGTGGGGTAGAAATGGTGCCACTTAGTCCGGTACCTGCAGGGTGACAGTGAGCACAGCTGGGGCGGGGCACCCCGGAAGTGCGGAGCATGGTACTAGACCAGGTCGAAGATTATCTTCCTTTTTTTTAAACCTCTCCTTAAAGATCATTTAATAATTAAGGGCAAAAATGCATGGAACAATTTAGACAGAAATTGGGTTCAATCTGTAAGGAAATGCAGTATCTGATTATGTATATGTCAAAAAATAATTAGCAACAGGTGGCAGCTTATCAAAGATGGTTCCTCAGGGAACTGCAATTGGATCAATGTCCAGCTTGGCAAGCAAATTGACAACTAGAGTAGTGATGGCAAGAACTGTGAGCTCTGAGTAGTTTAAGCGTGAGCATTGAAGCATTTAGACATGTTCTAACGTTTTAACTCACCTTGCCGTAGATCCAAAACAGTCTCGTGAAAGTGATAACATTTTTAAGTGCCCCTACTTGTCACATGCCTTCCACTCTCCTCCACCATATTTACTCTCAGGTGTCTACGACGACCCGGCCTGTAATGACACTGTGAACCACGGTGTGCTGGTGGTTGGCTACGGCAACCTCGATGGGAAAGATTACTGGCTTGTGAAAAACAGGTAATGTATTCACCCCTTGATGTATATTTAATTAAAATCAGGAATTTCAGGGAACCCCAACAAATACTTTCTTGTGATGATGATGACGATGAAGATGATGTTGACAATGATAAACATTGATAGCGCCTTCCAGAGTGACATTGTAAATGACTCAGTGCTGTGTCTTCGCTTCCTAGTCTTCCTCCAGCACTTTGTTTTTATGACTTATTTTCTACACTTCTCTGCTCATTCTTTGCCCGTCTCCTATGGGAACTCCTATTTTTCTGCTTACCCCCCAAAAGGGGTCTTTCCCAGAGGACTCCGTCCTCTGCCCATTACTCTTCTTAGTCTACATTTTTCTTCATGAAAATTTCATCCCAGGGGCCTCCCCTGGTGGTGCAGGCAGTTGAGCACAGCGCTGTGAAGCTGTCCGCAGCCTCTGCAGCGCTGGTTGGATCCCAGCCGGCCGGCCAGAGTCCCACGTGGTGTGGCAGACCTCTCCTGTCCCGCCCGCTGCTCCCCTCAGCAGTGTGTTTCGTCAGTCTACCTGTTCTGTTCCCCGCTCTGTCTCTGGTGAATCCTCTCACCCTCCCATGCATCTGGCCTGTAATCCGGTTCTTATATAAATAGATAAATAAATCTTAAAAAAAAAGAAAAAGAAAACCTCATCCCAGGTTTATGATTTTTAGCTATACCTTATCTGCTGAAGGTTTTCAAATCTCTAGCTCCAGCTCTGATCTGTGCCCTGAACTTCAGACTTATTTATCTGGGTATATCCATGTATCCATATATGTTAGTTTCTCCAAATTTAGTATTTCCAAGGGATTCAGAGCCATATTGTTTCTCCTCCGTGATGTCCCGTCTCAATAAATGGCAACACCTCATACATCACAGTCACCCTATTAGATATCATGGATCACCTTAAACACCTCCAAATCCAACAAGCAACAAGTCAGACTAATTTTATCTCATACCGCCTCTTGGTTCTGGCCTCTCTCTGCCCTCTGTCGCTGGTCTCGGTCTGCCACCTGCCTGGACTATCTCTGTAATCTAACTGCTCTTCTTTGCTGTCAAATCCCCTTTTCATGCAGTTGCCAGACTGGTTTGTCCAAAACATGAATCTGAGCTTACAGATCTTCTATCTACTACTATTTGGGGTAAAAATTAATGCTGTTTCATAGAGAAGACAAATCATCTGTGTTGTGGTGCCAGCTACCTTGCCAGCCTCAGCCCTAGCATGCATCTCACTTTATAACTAATACCTTCATGTATCAACTCTGCTGTTCCCTCTGCCTGAACATCCTTTCTCCTCGCTCCTTCGAAATCAGCACGGCAATACCAGGAAGTTTCCTCTGAATCTTTGGACTGGCTAAAATGCCATTTTTCCTGTGGCCCCGAAGTGTCGTGTGCATGTGGGAATGTTCTATACATTGTATTTAAATTGTTTGTTTTCCCATCTTTCACTCCAATATTCTTGTGTCCCCTTGGGTAGAGATTATGTCTCGCCTTTGTATCCTTACCACTACATAGCACCTACCAGCTTCTTAATTCATGAATTAACTGACATCAATATAATCCATAAACAGAGGAATGTGGCTTCTAGAGGAAATATGAAGAGTGAATATGTAGAAAGTTTGAGGTTTCTCCTTGTATTTGTTTTCCAGTGTTCCTATAACAAGGCACCACAAACCATGTGGCTTACACAACAAAATTTATTGTCTCATGATTCTCAAGGTTAGAAATTAGAGATGCAGGGGCCTCCCCGGTGGCGCAGCGGTTGAGCGCTGGGTTGCGAAGCTGCCCGCAGCCTCTGCAGTGCTGGTTCGATCCCCGGCTGCTCCCCGGCCACCAGAGGAGGGTCCCACATGGCGCGCAGACCTCTCCTGCCACCCGCTGCTCCCCTCAGCAGTGTACCTTGGTCCTTCTGCCTGCTCTGCTCCCCGCTCTGGCTCTGGTGAATTCTCTCACCCTCCCGCACTTCTGACTGTGCCCAGTGCTTGTATAAATAAATAAATAAATCTTTAAAAAAAAAAAAAAAAAGAAATTAGAGATGCAGGCATTGGCAAAGTTGGCTTCTTCTGAAGGCTGTGAGGAAGAAAATTCTCAGTGCCTTTTCTTTAATTTCTAACGGTTTGCTGGCAACCTTAGGATTTCCAGGCTTGTCAAAGAACCTCCAGGCCTCCACCTTTATTTCCACGTGATATTCTCCCTGTGAGCACGTTAATCTCTGTTTGATTTTCTTTTTTTATAAGACACTAGTCATAATAGATTATGATCCACCCTAATGACCTCATCTTAACCTAATTATATTTGCAACAACTCTATATCCAAATAAGGTCACATTTGGATGTACTGGTAGTACAGATTCCAACATATGAATTTTGGGTGGATGCAATCCAGCTAATAACATGCCCCAAATCTAACGGAAGTACAGAGCCTACAAATTGTAAGCACACAGGAAGGCGCTTCATTACCTTTTTTGTGCTGTGGCACACACAGAAGATGGTACATCTGTATGGCCCCCTGGGGAAGTAGGGCATCAATATCTTGGTCCACTTGTAACCCATGGTCAGCTTGGGCCCAGAGCAGTGAAAGCCTTTTAAAATTCTTTGTAAAAAGAATACTGCCTGATCTAGGTAACAATCCCCTTGATAACATTCCAACCATACACATAAGTTTAAAGAATGCTTTCATAAAGTCTAAAAACATAGGCCAGTGATTTAATAAGAAACAATTGAAAAAATATTATTCTGTGGAACCAAAATAGTGCAAAATAGGGCCACCCTGGTGGCGCAAGGGGTTAAGCACAGCCCTGTGAAGTTCTCTGCAGCCTCTGCAGCATGAGTTCAATGCCCAGCTGGCCAGGGAGCTACCCACACCAGACCTCTCCTGTCTCCCTGCTGCTCTCCTCAGCAGTGGATTTCAGTACATCTGCCAGTTCTGCTCCCCACTCTGTCTCTGTTGAATCCTCTCACCTCCTCTGCACCTCTGACCTACACCCAGCTCTTGTATGCATAAATAAATAAATCTTCATTTAAAAATAGTGCAAAATAGGGGGGTGGGGGAAAAATCGTGCAAAATAGAAAAATTGTACAACCCTTGATGGTTTAATTCAGTCCAGAAAATAAAACTAGGGCATCTGTGTGAGGAATGATGAAGTACATATTCCCCAGCCTTAATAATTAGCCAGTAGAGATTTTGAGGTTAAGTATAATCTAAGGTTATAATAAGGTTGATTAAACTCCTGAAATATTTGGATTGTGTAAGTTGTCAATTTTAGGCAGATCCTTAAATTTAGAAAGTTAGTTGAGCTAAGATATAATTGCTATGTACTTAGAATAGAAAAGTTTAAGGGCCTAACAAGAACATGTGCTTGGCTAGAAGGCCACCATAATCTAAGGGACTTCCCACAAAATGGTTCAAGATTGTCTCTAGGGAATAAAGGGAAGGAATTTAATCTAATATACAGAAAAATGAATAAATGACTCCCCTAAATTATCAGGCCTAAACGTAATTTTAGTAGGGGGGGAATGAAATGTATTAACCATATGCTCATTAGAACCTTAATCACACACACACACACACACACACACACACACACACACCAAGAAACTACCTTTAAGCAATACCTGGTAAGCTCTCTAAACAGTTGCAAAATTGATGGGCCTTAGATAATGAAAGTTTTCCAAACTATCCTTTGCAAATGGCCTAAAAGTCCTGGGGAAATTACTATATTATTTGTTTCACAACTTTTGTATGTAATCACTTTAGGAGAAAAACAACCTAAGCAATAAAAAGTTACTAACGTGATTTAATTCTATTCCTTTGTAATGTTGTGTTACTTCTTTTTCTAAAGCTGGGGCACCACCTTTGGTGAGCAAGGATATATTCGGATGGCAAGAAATAGTAAAAATCACTGTGGGATTGCTAGTTATCCCTCTTACCCAGAAATCTAGAAGATCTCTTCTTTTTATAACAAGACAAGAAAGAAGAAACACTTCACAATTTAATTTTACCTGCTGTTATCAACAGAAACAAGTGTTGTGATCGATGTATATTTAGTGTACTAACAAAGTACAGTTTGGCTCTTGCACTTTTTTAAGTTTGCAGATCTTGGAAAATGTTTGGTGTGTAAATTAACAACGTGCTATAGATATAACTGCACAAGAACTTTTAAACCCAAGATAATCTGCCATGTTCATTGTCATTGTCTAAACTTGCCCTGTGTTTTTTTAAGTCCCCTGATATCCTTTTGTAACTTGGTGGCTTAATAAATATCTTTTCAACTTTATATCATTACCACATACTGCTCTTTCTTTATTATTAGGTCACTGTCATAATTAATCATGAGAATATAAATTATAATATGTTGATGACCATGGCCACTTCACTGAAAGAAACTAAGGTTATTCATGACCTGAGGGCTCAAGTCTATTTCTGCACATAAAAGTACTCTTTTTTTTAAAAAGATTTATTTATTTATTTATACATATGTACAAGCACTGGGTACAGTCAGAAGAGCGGGAGGGTGAGAGAATTCACCAGAGCCAGAGCAGGGAGCAGAGCAGGCAGAGGGACCGAAGTACACTGCTGGGGGGAGCAGCAGGCGGCAGGAGAGGTCAGTGCACCATGTGGGACCCTCCTCCGGTGGCCGGGGAGCAGCCAGGGATCGAACTGGCGCTGCAGAGGCTGCGGGCAGCTTCGCAACCCAGCGCTCAACCGCTGCGCCACCGGGGAGGCCCTAAAAGTGCTTAATATTTTTTTATTTTTTTTTATTTTTTTTTTTTAAGAAAGTTTTTATTTTTATTATTATTATTTTTTTTTAAGATCTTCATTTATTTATTTATACAAGCACTGGGTACAGTCAGAAGCGCGGGAGGGTGAGAGAATTCACCAGAGCCAGAGCGGGGAGCAGAGCAGGCAGAATGACCGAGGTACACTGCTGAGGGGAGCAATGGGCGGCAGGAGAGGTCTGCACACCACGTGGGACCCTCCTCCGGTGGCCGGGGAGCAGCCGGGGATCGAACCGGTGCTGCAGAGGCTGCGGGCAGCTTAGCAACCCAGCGCCCAACCGCTGCGCCACTGGGGAGGCCCGCTTAATATTTTTTTAAATGAATGATGTTAAAGTAGGTAAATGCATAAAAGACAACCTGTTTTCAAGCACTCTGGAAAGAGTTTTAATTATCACTCTGTTTTAATTATCAGAAAATACTAATTCAAATTATTTTTACTGAGTGTTTAGCAATTTGACCAGACCTTTTATTTATTTATTTATTTTGGTCAAGTAAAGTCAGCCTTAATAAACTAACTGCATTACTTTTAAAATATTCCATTATTCATATTTTTATCTAATTCAGATTGCCCTTCCTCGCAACTGTTTTAGATTAATAGAGGGATTCTGAAAACACTGCAAGAACTTTAAATTTTATAAGTTAAATACTAGGATAAGAAAAACATGTGAGTTTGATGTCATTAGTATATATTAAACTGATCTTAGTTTAATTTCACCACCTCTGGTTCCATCTCTATAATGTACATTTTAAAGAAAAAGAATTACTAGCTATAATCATTCTCATAATATATAAATATTATCAAAAGTGTAGAGAAACACTATAGCTTAAAGTATTTTATTGACTGTTCTTTAATTCTTAGCAACTTTTGTTTTGCTTACAATTTTTCAAGCCCTGTAAATGGGAAAACATGGATTGTTAACCTTTGTCAATCTAATAAAAGCTAAGGACACCTTCTCAGAATGTTTTTAAATGCATCCAGTTAGATGTAGAACCAGACAATGATTATATTGAAATACAGTTACTAAAATGGCAAAATAAAAATCTGTGCTATGGTAACATACTTACTTCTTTTTTTTTTTTTTAAGATTTATTTATACAAGCACTGGGTACAGTCAGAAGCGCGGGAGGGCGAGAGAATTCACCAGAGCCAGAGCGGGGAGCAGAGCGAGCAGACTGAGGAAATACACTGCTGAGGGGAGCAGCGGGAGGCAGGGGAGGTCTGCGCGCCATGTGGGACCCTCCTCCGGTGGCCGGGGAGCAGCCGGGGATCGAACCGGCGACGCAGAGGCTGCGGGCAGCTTCGCAGCCCAGTGCTCAACCGCTGCACCACCGGGGAGGCCCCATACTTACTTCTTTATAAATTCATTAAACAACAGGAGTTACTATCGTAAATTTGAATTATAAGTATTTTAAGATGTATTTTAAGTATCTTAAACTGTAATGTGATACAAAAATATCAATTTTCTTTAATGATAAAGTTCCAAGTGTTGTTAATATTACTATAGTTTTGGGCCTCCCCGGTGGCGCAGCGGTTGAGCGCTGGGTTGCGAAGCTGCCCGCGGCCTCTGAGGCGCCGGTTCGATCCCCAGCTGCTCCCCGGCCACCGGAGGAGGGTCCCACATGGTGCGCAGACCTCTCCTGCCGCCCGCTGCTCCCCTCAGCAGTGTCCTTCGGTCCGTCTGCCTGCTCTGCTCCCCGCTCTGGCTCTGGTGAATTCTCTCACCCTCCCGCGCTTCTGACTGTACCCAGTGCTTGTATAAATAAATAAATAAATAAAATCTTAAAAAAAAAAATATTACTATAGTTTTTAGATTGTGTTCAGAATTGGAAAAAATGCTAATTTCAATTAGAAGTTACTGAAAATAACTTTGTTAAAGGTGTTGGACTGTTGAAAGATTTTTAACTATATTGACTTTTTGAAAGGTTAACTAATTTAAACTCCCACCAACATAGTATCTGAGTATTATTTTCCTATACCCAAACCACAGTCGGTTTTGTAATTGTGGGAAAGCTTTGTTTATGTAAACGGAATCACAATAATTTGTATCTCTGGTTATCAGGGAGGCTGAATATTTATTTTATGACTTATTCTTTCATAAAGTGAGGTGTTCATTTTATTGAAAAAAAATTACTGAAAATAAAGACGTAATTATTTTCCCGTACAAATTCACAAAGTTTCTGAATTCTTCATATGGATCCTTTATAGATTCCTAAAGGCAATAAACAATTTCAAACTTATAAAAATAAAATGAGAAATTTAAGAAAAATCTTATTCTGGAATCGTACGGAGGATGATTTGAAGAAAATTCAAAGGATACTAGCTAGGAGATCATACATATGGTGATAAAAGCTTGGAAAACTTAGCAGCTGTAAGAAAAGGAAATCTGGGAGCCATCACAGAGTAAAAATTAACAAAATGTTTAATTGGATAAGAATTTAAATATTCCAGAATTAGAAATCCATTGGACAATGTCATGAAAAAATGCGCATGAGGGCCTCCCCAGTGGCGAGCAGGTTGAGTGCACCACTGTGAAGCTGTCTGCAGCCTCTGCAGCATGGGTTCAATTCCCGGCCGGCCAGGGAGCTGACCCACTTGGAGCAGCAGACCTCTCCCGTCGTGCCCCCTGCTCCCCTCAGCAGTGTACTTTGGTCAGTCTGCCTGTTCTGCTCCCCAATCTGTCTCTGGTGTCTCTTTTCACCCCCTGCATCTCTGGCCTGTACCCCAGCCCATTGTATAAATAAAAAATAAATCTTAAAAAAAATTAAAAATTTGCTTAAAAATGTGTATGAAATATATGAAGCAGAGGATTATTAATTCCTGAAATAAAATTATTCATTTCTTATTCTTCTCTAAATGAGTCTGGCTTCAAATGCACATATTCTTAAGTCCCAAAGAGACCATGTAATAAAAATAAAAAGTCCTTAAAGGATGTAACTGCTTGGGTCTCCCTGGTGGCACAAGGGGTGAAGATGCAACCTACAAGCTATCCACAGCCACTGCAGCACGAGTTTTATCCCCAGCCGCGGAGCTACCCACATGGTGCAGCAGACCTCTCCTGACAGGCCCGCTGCTCCCCTCAGCAGTGTATTTCCATGGATCTGCCTGTTCTGTTCCCCACTCTCTCTCTGGTGAATCCTCTCATGCCCCTGTACCTCTGGCCTGTACCCCAGTTCTTGTATGCATAAATAAATAAATCTTAAAAAATAAAATAAATCAATGATAATTCTCTTAACAGTTCTTCAAGTTTCTAAATTTCTAATATATTTTATTGCTTTTTTACTTATCAGTTTAAAATGGTATTTTATGATGTTTTAGAACTCTTGCAGCAACACCACCCATTTCTCCCCTTCTCAGAATATAGTCATTTCAATTATGAGGCCAGGGGATTTTCACTGTTTTTTTTTTTCACCCTGAAAACAGAATTCTAGTTTTGATTCCTCTCCTAGTTGACTCGAGGCAAATTTTTTAATATCTAGTCGTTATTTCCTAACTGGTGATGCAGAAACATCAAAGTTTATAAATACACTAACACAATTTATTTGGAAATACACCAATTTGTAAACAAAGAAGTGTGTGCTACTCCCCAACCCCCTGCTACCTACTAGCTCTGATTTTACTATTTTGTCTCTAAATGAGACATTAATTACCCTCGAAGCACCCGGTCCCCACAGGCAGAGCCCAGTGGATGGAGCGAAGGAAGAAATTACTAGAGCAGCTGATTTCCTGAAGACGCAGGAGACTGGGCGGTGGGAGAGCAACATGCAGCAGATGCAACAACAAGGCAAAGGCCTAAAACCCACCAGAAATAAACATGATGAATTAAACGACTGGCCAAGGACCCTCCGGCCAAGGTGAACGACAAGCGTGTGGCCAAGACCACGACGAGCAGCCACTGAGGCGGCCCCTCTGGGAGGCAGGCGTTTCCCGCTGAGGTGACGCCGGCCCCGGGGCTCCCGGCAGGCTGTGCGCCGCTCTTGGCGGGACCGAGGCGTCCGCACCTGTCCACAGGCCCCGTCACGCTCCCGCGGGCGACCAACCGTTACAGACAGCGCATGCGCAGCGAGGGAACCACCACGACGCAGAAGGCGCTGCTCGGTGCGAGGCCTGGGCGCCGGGGCGGGCCCTCAGACTTGACGTAATATGTGTTTCTTTCTTCTCCCTTTTCCTTTTCTCCTCTGTAAACCGGCCTTCCTGTCACCGCGAGGCCTGGACGGTGAATATTGCGGGGTGGGGCGGTGCCTGCTTGTGTTTCCCACGCGGCCGGCCCAATGAGGGCCCTGGCGGCAGCTCAGGCCGCGGCAGGGCCCTGTCAGCCGCCGCGACCGACGCCGCCGGGGCTCGGCCTGGGCTGTGCCCGGCGGCCGGAAAACCCGAAGCTGAGGGAGGCCCGGACACGAGGAAGCACCACAGGTCACGGAACCGGGGGTCTCCCCACGTCTAGGCCTGTCCTGGGCCGCACAGCGCGGACGGGCTCCGGGCCAGGCCCAGCGCCGCGCGGGGAGGGCCCCATTCAGTTCTTTGAAACTATAAATTTGAAACAAAAAGTTAAGAGGTTCGTTAGGATCTGCCCGGGGCGAGCTTTTCCTAACCCGCTACCTGCTGTTGTCAGTGCTCGAATAAATGGACGGTGCGTCTTTGAAAGGGGCTTTTTTTTTTCTTAGTTAGTTTTTATTATTTTTTAAATTTTATATATTTTTTACATCAGTTTTCATTTTTGCACAATGTATGCATTTTCACTTGGTTATCGTCCCCATACAATTCCCACCCCCCTTATTTTCATCCTACTCCCTCTCCCACCCCCCCGTGTGTCTCTCTGGATTAAAGCAATTTTTTTTAAAGATTTAATTTTTATTTATACAATAGCTGGGGTACAGGCCAGAGTTGGAGGTGTGTGTGAGAGGATTCACCAGAGACAGAGCGGGGAGCAGAACAGGCAAACTGACTGAAACATACTGCTGAGGTAGAGCTGCAGGGAGGCAGGAGAGGTCTGCTGCGCCATGTGGGTACCTCCTTGGCCGGGGAGATAGAAATCGTGCTGCAGAGACTGCAGACTGCCTCATAGTGCAGTGCTTAACCCTTTGTGCCACCAGGGAGGCCCCTAAAGCACTTTCTTAGCCCCGGTCATGCGAAGCTCGCCAGTCGGGTGGCTTAAAATAAGGTCATACGCTGGAAGAATGGGCTAGAGAAAGGAAGCCTGTTTCAGAAGTGGCCTTTTTAAGAAAAGAAATCTCGTTTCCTCACGTAAAATTCTTTCCGACTTCACAGGTACAAGCTAGAATATTAGGGATAAAAATAAGCTTTTCTTTGTCACAAGGTTGCCTTAAAGAAAATACTGGAAGATGGCCACTGCGCAGTTGCAGAGAACGTCCATGGTATGATCTCCTGCATAGATTTAATAGATTTTAATTTAGCAAATTGTATTGTTTCTTGAGGTCTCAAATATTTTTACACCTGGAGGTTAGAGCCAGCTGCTTGAGAGTTTAATGATATCTAGAAATTACTGGCTAAGTTGTTTTGAATTCGTGGAGATTTCTACTGGGTGTTGGATTCACTGCATTTAATCACTGGTTCACATTCCATTTCCATTAGGTATTAATGGACGCTTTTCTGTTCCTTTGGAGGCATGATGGTTCATAACAATCCATTCCTAGAATATGCATCTCCAGACCCCACAGACAAAAAAAAAATTGTCTTCTTTGCATGGGGCTTGCACTACAGGGCATATGCACATGTGCGTGTAGTTCCTAGGCGGAACTACACGTGTGTTAAACCTAGGCGGTGACTGACAAGACCATGTTACCTGTCCATGCCTCACATGCATAGGGACAGTTGACCCTGCAGGGGGTTGGTAACATGATTCTTAGCACTTTCTGCATTTTACTTTTAGGCTGCCACCCTGGAACAGCTCACATTTTGGAAGGCAGTCTGACTTTCTGAGCTTTCCTAACCACAGTGGCTAGGAACTATTTGGGAAAGTACCGTGCTTATACAAAATTAGATCTACTTTAAGTTCAGGAAAGCATATTTTTAATAAATCTAAACAAGCTATTTTAACTTCCCTTGAATTTTAGAGTGCATTGGTATTTCCCAATAAGATATCAACTGAACAGCAGTCTTTGGTGTTAGTGAAGAGGCTTCTAGCAGTTTCAGTATCCTGCATCACCTATTTGAGAGGAATATTTCCAGAATGTGCTTACGGAACAAGATATCTAGATGGTAATATAATATTTATTTAAATTTTTTCTTTAAACGTGTTATTTTTATTTTGGTTTGCTCTAAAACTGTAATTTTTTACTTCAGGATTTTGCTTTTTTAATAACTTTATTGAGCTATCATTCACATACCTGACAGTTCACTCATTTAAAGTGTACAGTGAGGGCCTCCTCTGGTGGCACAGCGGTTGAGTGCTGGGCTGCTGGGCTGCCCGCTGCCTCTGCAGCGCCGGTTCCTTCCCCGGCCGCCACGAGGGTCCCACAAAAAATAAATAAATAAAGATAAAGTGTACAGTGATTTTTAGTATATTCATAGAGATATATGAAAGGTCTGGTGGGAACCAAAGTTACCAGGGTGAAAAGGCGTCTGGTAGGAAGCCCACCTAAGGGCCAGAATGAGGACCTGCTGATACCATCAGAAAACAACTGTTCCTCGTTACCTGCAAGTCCAGTTTCCCTCTTCCCATCCTATAAAAACCTGCCTTCCTCTGACAATAGGCGTGGCTTCACCGGCCCCCACCTTGGGTCCGTGAGGTTCACCTGGGAACACAATATTTTAAACTTATTCTGTCTTCCTCGTCTTTCCCGCCTCGTCTTTCCCGCCTCATCTTTCCCTGCCGAACCTTTCAATATATATCACCACAGTTTTAGAACATGTTCACCACCCCAAAAGGAAACCCCATACCCACTAAGTCATTCCCCACTTCCCGCAATCTCCCCATTTTCTGTCTTTATGGATTTGGCTATTCTCAACATTTCATGAAAATGCCAAAAAATTTGTATGATTAAGAAACAAAAACATCCTTTCATGTAAGTGCAGTCATACAATATGTGGTCCTTTGGGAATGCTTCTTTCACTGCCACTTTCGAAGTTCATGCATACATCATAGAAGAGAACTGTACTAGGTTCTTTTTGTTGCTGAATAATATTCCATTATGTGGATATACCACATTTCATCCATTCTTCAGTTGATGAACATTTGGGTTGTTTCCATATGTTGGTTATTATAAATAATGCCATGTATGTGGCACATTTTTATTGTAGACATCTAAGTGGGGTTTTCTTGAAGTATTTGCAGTATCACAAGTATAATTTCACCAGCTATTAATCTTATGATGATAAAGTAAGTAGATAAAGTATTCTGTTATTTATAATTTTGTACAGTGGTAGTGCATGTTCTCGTGTTAGCTTAAGGAAGAAAACAATGCATCCAATTTATATAATTAGGTTAACTCATTGCCCACCATACACAGTATGTAATTTTGTGTGCTGGTAATGTGCTAGGCAACATGTTAAGGACTGTGTTATTTCTGGTGACTTACTAATTTATATTACAGGCTGATGAGTCAGATATTAACCCTATTTTTCAGATAAGGATCGTGAGAGAGAGATCTTCTCAGTCCCTTCCACTATATGACATGTTGCTTCTTTTTAGGGTTGTCTTTGGTAACCAGTTAACTTCTTGGCCTTTTGCAAATACTTATAATGAGCAGCTAAAGAAAATAATCTTCATTTAAAATTTCTAGTTGTTTATTAATCCTAAGTAGTTCTATATTTATATCACCATTTTTGTGCTTAGATCTTTGTGTCAAAATTCTGAGAGAAGATAAAAATTGTCCAGGAGCTACACAGTTAGTGAAGTGGTAAGTAAAAGCATACCTAGTGATAGAAAATTGTTTTTTAAATCACATTTTTTTTAATCTTGGATACTTTTTGGTGTTTAATTAAATTTTAATGTTCCTCTTTAACCATGAATATATTTTTGCAAGTCTTTGAATTTTTGCATTAAAATTTTCCTTTGCTTCATGCTGCATGATCAAGCATCATGTTCCTATTTTTGTTCCCCACAAATAGCTGCCAGATATTTTATACCTACTCTTCCGTCCCCCATCAACATCTCATAGTTCTGCCATATTGTTTTGTTTTATTATTTTAAGCTAGTTAACAAGAAGGAAGCTTTAGTAAGAAAACTTTGTATTATTGTATATTGAATAAATATATAATGAGATCATTGGAGATTTATTAAAAATTTTTCTGAAAATGCATTCCATCTAAAAATGGATCCTTGGTTATTTTTTAGGATGCTAGGATGCTATGATGCCTTGCAAAAAAAATATGTAAGTCAATATCTCTATCCTTTGTTCTACATTTTATTCTACAATTGTAGCAATTACCACATAATAAAACTTTAACTTGGGCACAGGCCTGTCCTCTTCATATTGAAAAGAACATTTGAATATCTTGAAGATTAATACTCAATTCATTTAAAGCTCATAAAATTAATACTTAGCAAATTTTGCAAAGCCAGGTTTGGTTAATTGTTAACACTCATTTGTATTAGTAACATATATTAACTTAAAATCTTAATGAATTAAATTCTTTTTAAATAGTTCATTATTTAGTTTTACATGTCTTCTGCAGTCTTTTATTTTTTTTTAAAGATTTATTTATTTATGCATACAAGAGCCGGGGTACGGGCCAGAGATTCGGGGGTGGGGGTGAGAGGATTCACTAGAGACAGAGCGGTAAACAGAACAGGCAGACTGATTGAAATGCATTGCTGAGGGGAGCAGCGGGCAAGACAGGAGAGGTCGCCATGCCATGTGGGTTACTCCCAGGGATCGAACTCGTGCTGCAGAAGCTGCGAATTGCTTCATAGTGCAGTGTCTAACCCCTTGCACCACCAGGGAGGTCCCTACAATCTTTTCTATACTAATAATTTAACAAATTATTTCTTTATGAAAGTTCAACAATAAATTCCCATGTAATCTAGATTAAATTGTCACAAATTCTGTATTCCTATGAATTTCAACAAATAAGATTTTGCTATAAACTAACCCTTTTTGTATACTTAGCCTATGTCTGTATCAACTTGTAGAGGTTCAACACTAACAAAATTGTGAAAATGATAACATTTTATCCATGGTCACTAACCTCTTTCACTAAGGCATTTAATATTTAAATATTAAACGCCTGCTATATACTAGATACATATTGTAGGTAGGAGTTGGTCAATAAGTGGACAGTGGTCAATGAGACAAAGAGCTCCCTTCTATACTGAAAAAACAATAAAACAAGTAAGTCAGATCATTTCCATTAGTAGTAAATGCCATTAAAATTTTTAGAAAGTGGAAAAGTGGGGTCACTTGCGCTAGAGTGATTGAAGGAACTCTCTGAGGAGATGACGTTTGTTGAAGGTGAGGTTTGAATGAAAAGAAACCAGGCAGACTTTGATTTTGGGAGAGAAGCTAGCAGAACAGCGAGCGCAGAGAAGGGAGTTTGGAGTTTAGTGGACAGAGTGTGAGGAGTGGCATGAGATGAGCCTGGGAAGGTGGGCCCTGGCCTGCAGGCCTTTGTGCAGGTGAGGTGTTTGGATTTTATTTTAGTGTAAATGAAGCTCATTTAAAGGTCTTGAATAGAAGTGTAACATTTGATTTATATTTAAAATGAAAAGAGAAATCACTCTTATTTAAAGAATATATTGGGGGACCTCCCTGGTGGCACAGCGGTTGAGCGCTGGGTTGCGAAGCTGCCCGCGGCCTCTGTGGCACCGGTTCGATCCCCGGTTGCTCCCCGGCCACCAGAGGAGGGTCCCACATGGCGCGCAGACCTCTCCTGCCGCCCGCTGCTCCCCTCAGCAGTGTACTTCGGTCCTTCTGCCTGCTCTGCTCCCCGCTCTGGATCTGGTGAATTCTCTCACCCTCCCGTGCTTCTGACTGTACCCAGTGCATGTATAAACAAAACAAACAAATAAATAAATAAAACATGCCTCTAGAAAAATTTTTTAAAAAATTATAAAGAATATATTGGGGCCTCCCTGGTGGTGCTGCGGTTGAGCGCTGGGTTGCGAAGCTGCCCAAAGCCTCTGCAGCGCTGGTTTGAACCCAGGCCACCAAGCGAGAGTCCCACAGGAGAGGTGCGCAGACCTCTCCTGCCACCTGCTGCTCCCCTCAGCAGTGTACTTTGTCAGTCTGCCTGTTCTGCTCCCTGCTCTGGCTCTGGTGAATTCTCTCACCCTCCCGCACTTCTGACTGTACCCAGTGCTTGTATAAATAAATAAATAAATCCTTAAAAAAAAAAAGAATATAATGTAGAAGAAGAATATGCAGTACCGGTGACAAATAATGGTGGCTTATGCCAAGATTACAGAGGGGAAAATGGAAGAGTCAGACACATTCGGCAGTAGAGCTGATTGGACTTGTGGATGGATGGGCTGTGGAGTATAGAGAAAAAATCTGAAGCTTAGATTTTTGGCAGATTACTTGAATGATTTCCTGTGCTTCTTCCTGTGGTCCCCACAGTCTCTTCCCTTTCTCAAATGAACTCTTCTACTTTTTCTCTTTTCAAAATCAGTTCTTATAGTGCTAAGATTTCACAATATATTTCTTCCTTGTAACTGGTTGTAATGCCCCTGTTTTCTTAAGTCAGCGACATGAATTACAACCTTTAGTAAGTCAAGTAGATATTTGGGGGTAAAGAGAAGACTATCTAAGATATTGCTTTTTTAGGCCTCATATAAAGTCTGTTTTTCTGCATGATCATTTCTTACTAGGAGTAGATGTGAAAGTAGTACAAAGAGTTCTGTGATTCATCATGACAAAATATAGTGTAGAATAAAAGTAAAATTTTTTTCTTTGTTGTGTTTCAGCTAAGGATGGTTGTTCTAGCTGTAAGTATTTTCAAATTGTTCTTTTTTAAAACTGTCAAATTCAGACTTGATTAAATAACACTAAAACCATTACATGATTATATCACTTTATTCACACAACTGATCTATTCAATGGGAAAAAAATAACAATATTTGGGGAAGTCATTTTGTATTTTGTTTTGCTGAGGTTTTTAATAGTGTAGTCTAAGTATCCTGTTAATTTTGTTGACTACTTTGCTTTATCTAACTCAATTGCAAATTATTTTTAAATAGGTATATACCAATCCTGAAGACCCTCAGGTAAGTGTGTTTAAGTAGCAAACAAATAATATCTCTGATATCTAAAAATAACAAAATTGAATCATACGCTTTTAATCAATACACTTTAATATATACTTTAAAATTTAGAACTCAGATTTTTTTTTTTGAGGCAAAACAGGGCTTGTATTATTACCTTTAAACAGATTAATATTGTTACTACAGCAGAGATTTATGTGATTGATCTTAGGCCACAAACCATTAGAAATAGTCTAAATCTCCTGACTTCTGATTCTTTACAATAGTCTTTTCATAGAATTATGAAAGGTGTTGAAAATGAGAAAAATATGCTCATCCTTAAACCTTTCATATTCATCCTAATCCACTCACATCCATCTTTTCATCTGACATTTAAGGGAAAGAGGGGACTATAAGAAATAATAGAGGAAGTCAGAAGACAAGAAATTAAGGGCCTGTTGAATACTTACTATTATTTGACTGTTCTTTGAGTCTTTATGTGTTATCCCGTTTATTCATCCAATCTTCATGAGGTTACCATCTCTACTTTGTAGATAATGAAACCTAGACACAAGGTTTCTTGCCTGAATTCACAGTGGCACAATTTGAATTTGGACCCAAGAAGCTAATTCATGATCTGGGTGTTTAACCAGTATTATAACCACTGTTGTAATACAGTGTTTCATTCAGTAATGAAACAGATGAGAAGCAGGTTTTTTAAAAAGAGAACCAGGGCCTCCCCGGTGGCGCAGCGGTTGAGCGCTGGCTTGCGAGGCTGCCCGCGGCCTCTGCGGCGCCGGTTCGATCCCCGGCTGCTCCCCAGCCACCGGAGGAGGGTCCCACATGGCGCGCAGACCTCTCCTGCCGCCCGCTGCTCCCCTCAGCAGTGTACTTCGGTCCTTCTGCCTGCTCTGCTCCCCGCTCTGGCTCTGGTGAATTCTCTCACCCTCCCGCGCTTCTGACTGTACCCAGTGCATGTATAAACAAACAAACAAACAAATAAATAAATAAATAAATAACATGCCTCTATATTAAAAAAAAAAAAAAAAATAAAAAAAAAAAATAAAAAGAGAACCATTCCTCATCCCTGTGTGAGTACTGGAATGTTAAGAAAGCAGTACAAGTTTTAAACTTTCAACAGGACTGGAAATGTGTCTTTTCTTTAATACTTATGCCTGCTATTAATACTTAATATTATTATCACAGTGACAAAGTCATGTGGGCAAAGGCTGTGAATTAGATTATTCAGAAAATTTTCATATGCTTTATAATTCACATTTTTCTTTTATAAAAGAGCACGCTTGCTGATAGACTAATATTTATTGATGCTTGGCATAGCAGGCACTTTAAGGGCTCTGTATACAAAGTACCCCATCTGATAAATATCCACAGTCACCAATGAGATTCGTACTATTTTCAACCTCTTTTATTAGCTGGAGAAACTGAGACTTGGAGTAGTTAAATGATGCTTTTGGTTAAAGTATAGTAAGGGGCCTCCCCTGTGGCGCAGCGGTTGAGCGCTGGGTTGCAAAGCTGCCCGCAGCCTCTGCAGCGCCGGTTCGATCCCCGGCTGCTCCCCGGCCACCAGAGGAGGGTCCCGCATGGCGCGCAGACCTCTCTTGCAGCGCCCGCTGCTCCCCTCAGCAGTGTACTTTGGTCCTTCTGCCTGCTCTGCTCCCCACTCTGGCTCTGGTGAATTCTCTCACCCTCCCGCGCTTCTGACTGTACCCAGTGCTTGTATAAATAAACAAATAAACAAACAAACAAATAAATAAATAACTCTTTAAAAAAAATAAATAAATAAAGTATAGTAAGGATTTAGGTCCTGTGTCTAGCCATTCTGCCAAAGTAGGAGATAAGCTGCCTCCATTACTGGGCTGCTAGGGAGTCCCTTCCTTCTGGTATATATAACACATGTTATAAAGTGAATGGGGAAATAAGTATCTCTCCAGGACTGAAGCCTCAAACCCCAAGCCATGGGAAATGACTATGGACTTGAAAGTTTCAGTGGACCAATAGGGATTAAGATAGCAGAAAAAATTATTAAATGTTGAGAGTCGTACAGAAGCAGTACATGTCTACTTGGCAGTCAGTACTTGTATATCAGATACATAACTGCAGTGTTTTCTATTTAAGACAATTTCAGAATGTTACCAGTTTAAATTCAAGTATACTGTCAATGGACCAATCATGGACTTCATAAGGTATTGTTTTCTTTTTATATAACAGATTACCACTCATTCATATTAATACTATATAACTAAAACCTCAGGTTTAATTCTGAAACTTCACAAACATTTTGAATTAATCATGAGGGTGTGCTTATATAGTAATATATCCTTGAAGTAACTGTGCAAGGCAGGATTCTGTGGCTAATCATATACTATTTTAATTGTGAAATAGAACCAAAGAATAGGAAAGTTGTTGATGCTTAATAGAATTAAAGTTGTTGATGCTTAATAAATTAAAATGCATCATTTGTTTCCTTTAAACACCTTATATAGAATATATATTTAATTTATGTAGAGTTATTCTCTTATATTAATAGTGATATTAATATTAAAATTTTAATCAGTGACATTAAAACACAGTTATGGTAACTTTCAACTTAACTGTATGCTATGATAGGAATAAGAATCTCAAATAGTAAATGTGAAATTATGTTATTAGCAGCCACAGGTTTCATAAAATAAATTAATGTGGGATTCTCTTCTAGTAAAAACCAAACAAATGAATCTAGTATGTCATCTGCCGACACCAAGAAAGCAAGTATTCTCCTCATTCGCAAGATATATATTCTGATGCAAAATCTGGGGCCTCTACCTAATGACGTTTGTTTGACCATGAAACTGTTTTACTATGATGAAGGTACTATTTGCAATATATCCTTTTACCATTGGTATCTGTATGATATATTACTATTATTGAAATAATTGGTTTCCGGGCCTCCCCGGTGGCGCAGCGGTTGAGCGCTGGGTTGAGAAGCTGCCCACGGCCTCTGCGGCGCTGGTTCGATCCACGACTGCTCCCCGGCCACCAGAGGAGGGTCCCACATGGCACGCAGACCTCTCCTGCCACCCGCTGCTCCCCTCAGCAGTGTACTTCGGTCCTTCTGCCTGCTCTGCTCCCTGCTCTGGCTCTGGTGAATTCTCTCACCCTCCCGCGCTTCTGACTGTACCCAGTGCATGTATAAACAAAACAAACAAACAAATAAATAAATAAAACATGCCTCTATTAAAAAAAAATAATAATAATTGGTTTCCACCCAAGGGTTTTTTTAGCACCTCAATTAGTAGGTAGGTACAGTTATTTCCCCCAGTTGACAGATATGGAAACTGAATCAAGGATGATAAATAATTTCCTCAAGGTCACATAGCCAGCCAAGTCAAGGGGGAAAAAAGGTATAAAAATAAAATCACAACTTGGGAGTAGAAGAGTAATTTTTATTTTTTATTGTATGCCCTTCTATACTATTCATACTCCTTCATCTACATTTACTTTTATAATAGCAATAATAATTTCTTTGATTTCATGAACAGCACAGTTTACATTTACTCTTTTGCAGTTACACCTCCAGATTACCAGCCTCCTGGCTTTAAGGATGGTGATTGCGAAGGAGTGATATTTGAAGGGGAACCTATGTACTTAAATGTGGGAGAAGTCCCAACACCTTTTCACACCTTCAAAGTAAAAGTGACCACTGAGAAAGAACGAATGGAAAATATTGATTCAACCATATTATCACCAAAACATTTAAAAACACCACTTCAGAAAATTCTCATGGACAAAGATGACCTAGGAAATGAACAGGAGCATTATATAAGTGTGAGTGTACATTAGAGTTATAAAGTGCTACAGAGAGTAACAAACTCTATTCTGAGAACTTTAATAGTTTTTATTAATATTTGCATAAGTGTATTATAATCATAAACTCAAGGTTGAAAGGGCCATTAAGGAAGGTAATGGTTTGTAGTTTCAGAATTCTCTACCTTGGTGAAAGCAACGTTATTCTCAGAAATGTACCAGCACAGCTATTCCCAGTGAAACAGAGAATGGTCCTGAAGGCCCAACCACTTACCACCTCACTTGCCCTCACAGTGACTTTGAGGAAACCCCTTAGCCTGGAGCAAAATTTGAAAATTACTGAACTAGTCCAATCCCCCAACTAATGCTGGAACCGTTTTCCTCAGCGCCCTGCTCGGTGCTCATGTAAGCGTGTGCTTGAATTCTTCAAGGTCTGGCAAGTCTGTCCTGAAGCAACCTGGAAGTTCCTGGAAGGCAGGAAAAGTGTCTTACTCATCTTTGTAACCTCCTGTGCCTAGCACTTGGATTTACAGTGTGCATTCTCAGTACTGGTTGAATGCATAGATGAATAGAGGTATATTTAAAAAGCATTTTTATTGCCCCATTTCCCAGAAATCTGTCAGTATTCGCAAGATCATTCTTTACTCTCATCTTTGTTGTTTTCTCGTCTCATGCTATTCTAAATTATGCCCCAATACTTATATATAGAGGATGATTTGTGCTCTGTGGCTGCATCCTTACAAATTGAAAATTCAATTTTCAAACAATTCAATGAAGAAAATTTTATCCTAAAACCTAAATCCCAGTCTTTTATAAACAAATATGGTTGGGAATTGTGTAGCTTTTTAAAAAATATTAAGGGCCTCCCTGGTGGTGTACGGGGTTAAGAACCACACTATGAAGCAATCCGCAGCCTCTGCAGCATGAGTTTGATCCCCGGCCGGCGAAGCAGACCTCTGCTGTCTCACCTACTGCTCCCTTCAGCAATGGATTTCAGTCAGTCTGCCTGTTCTGTTCCCCACTCTTGTCTCTGGTGAATCCTCTCACCCCCTGCATCTCTGGCCTGTACCCCAGCTCTTGTATGCATAAAAAAAATAAATCTTTAAAAAAAAATAAAAAATAAAAAATATTAAAAGCTCTTTGACAATGTCACAAAGGGAACGATAACTATAGACACTAGCACTATGACCATATCAAGGCTGAGCTTACCCTTCACTAATGCCCTGGGGAGAGCTAAGGCTTGTTCAGAGTGTATGCTAACATCTAGGAAATTCCAGAGTTTGGAAGTGGTAGCTTATTGGGTGAACATGTCCAATTCAGTGTCCTCAAGATGCAAAAGAAGCATCTAAGCTTCTTAGAAGCATTATACATTTTTGAGAAAGCCTCAACCCTGCAAATTAGGTAGTATTTTGTATTGTGGATAAATCGGTTGCCTTGCTATAGCAGCTACTTCATTTCTAGCAAGTGTACAGTAGTTGGAGTATCATGATATATTTAACCTTCACATAAAACAAGTTTGTTCATAATTACCTCTACCCAGTTGTTTTAATTTCTTTTTGAAATATGTATATATATATTTTTTTTCTTGTAATTATTGTAGGATGATTCTGACATTGAAACTAAAATGGAAGGGCAGAGAAAAACCCCTGGATATTCTGAAACCAGAGGTAATAAGTTAATGAAAATGTAGATTAATTCATTTCCAATTTAATTAGAATTATACTATTTAATGTTAAATATACTTTTTTTTCACAGAGCCAAGTTTAGTTTTTGAGGAAGATGAAATGAAATTTAAAGAAAGTTCAGATTTTTCTATTTCTCATTCTCAGGTATAAACTTGGTAGTTCCGGTCTCACTTTTGTTTTGTTTTGTTTTTGTTTTTGTTTTTGTTTTTCATAAGACTATTGCTTATGTGCTTTTTTAGGTATTGCTTAGAATGTCTTAATATATCCTGGGTCTTCTAGAAGAAAATTAGGCTTTAAGAAATGTTTAGTAAGGGCCTCCCTGGTGGCGCAGGCAGTTGAGCGCCTCACTGTGAGGCTGTCCGCAGCCTCTGCAGTGCGGGTTTGATCCCAGCCAGCCGGCCGGCGAGAATCCCACATGGCGAAGCAGACCCCTCCTGTCTCGCCCGCTGCTCCCCTCAGCTCCCTCAGCAGTGTATTTCTTTCTTTTTTTTTTTTTTAGATTTATTTATTTATTTATACAAGCACTGGGTACAGTCAGAAGCGTGGGAGGGTGAGAGAATTTACCAGAGCCAGAGCGGGGAGCAGAGCAGGCAGACCGGCAAAACACACTTCAGCAGTGTATTTCAGTCAATCTGCTTGTTCTGTTCCCCACTCTGTCTCTGGTGAATCTTCTCACCCTCCCATGCATCTGGCCTGTACCCCGGTTCTTGTATAAAAATAAGTAAATCTCTTTAAAAAAAAAAATGTTTAGTAATAACCGTAAGTACTGTTCATGGCATCTCAGAATCTTGGTGCTTAATAGAATCTGAAGTAGTTACGTATACATTACCCTTTGTATCTACAAATGTATATAACACATTTTTGTTGCCTTGAAGCAGAACATGCTTGATACTGTTTTCCAAAGACAGTAAAATTCTGAAATCACAGATTTAGGTAAAATGAACTTGAAAGTAATGGGACTGATGACTGTCTACCTTCCTCTGCTCAGCCAGTTTCCCAAATGGGCATGTCCTGCAGTTCTGGAAGAGCAGTGCCTGCTGATCATTTGAGACTTTCTCAGCTCCGAATGGTCACTTGTAACAGTGTCAGGCTCACTGTCTTTACCTTGGTGCTTTTTTGTGTAAAAACCAACTCAAAATTACTGGTTTTCATTAGTTCAACATAACAAGACCCTAAATTTTGAAGAATTTGTCAACTTCATTATTGTACTATGCAAAGCTTTTACTACATTATGTTATGTGGTTTTTTATAATTACTCTCTTTTCTAGGTTGAGCAGTTAGTCAGTAAAACATCTGAACTTGATGTGTCTGAAAGCAAAACAAGAAGTGGAAAAATCTTTCAGAATAAAATGGTAAGTATCTTTTTAGATTTCTTTTCCAGATGTGAGTTTATTTTGCTTAAAAGCAAGCATTTTTTAAAAATCCACTAGGCAAGTTTTACTTATAATGTAAAATTAGTTTGGGGACATAAAATCACTTCAGAAATTACCCTTCATTTGGATATGAACTCTCTACCAAAGTACCCCTGACTTTGAGAATAATGACTGAATTAAGGTTAGGAAAGGACAAGAAATTTAAAAAATTAATTGTATATATACTAAGGAAGTTATTGAAACCTTCATTTTAAGCATCAGAAAATTAAGTATGTCCTTTTAGAGAATAGTAATGTGACAGTGAATAATTTGCTGTTACCGAGTATTCACTTAACAAAAGCACTGCATATATAGCACTTATTCACACTAGCCAGGAAGTCGAAAGTCTAAATGTCCATCGACAAATGAAGGGATAAACAAAATGTGGTAATCCGTACAATAGACTATTATTCAACCATAGATAGAAGTGAACTATTTCTACATGTCAGACCTTAGATGAACACTGAAAACATTACACTAAGTAAAAGAAGCCTGTCACAAGAGTCCACACTTACATGATTCTATTCATATGAGAGTCCAAAAAAAAGGGAAAGTTCAGAAGAAGAATTTCTAGAGAGACAGAAAATCTTAAAGCTTGCAGGAAAATGGGGGAGTAGGAGAACGACACCTAAGGGTGCAGGTCTTCTTCTCAGTGGGATGAAATTGTTCTACAATTTACTGGTGATGGTCACACAACTTTGTGGATATTCGTAAAATCATTAAATTGTATACTTTTAAACTGGTGAGTTTGTATGGTATCTGAATTATATATCTCAGTAGTTATTTTTTTTTAATTGCATGTAGTTGCCTATGATTGAAAACTAAAGTGTTGGTTTTTCTTTAACAAATAACCTATTAGTAATTATTCTGTCTTTGTGGAGGCTAATGGAAATCAACCAATAAAATCTTCCAGAGAAAATCGGAAGAGAAGTCACCTCGAATCTGGGAAAACAGTAAGTCTTTCCTATGTTAATGGAAATCGGTTATGCTACCTGTAATCAAAAAAGGGAGAAACCCCCAAGACATGAAAAAGATCTAAAATGTAAGACATTTAAACTGCAAAATACCCATTCTCAGTGGCTGTTTTCTTTTGGCAGGGCCTTCATCACTTTGATTCTTCTAGTCAAGAGTCAGTGCCAAAAAGAAGAAAGTTTAGTGAGCCAAAGGAACATATCTAAACATTTTTTCTTCTGCACGTTTGCAAAGTTCTCAACATTTAAACTAAGCAACACGATATTACTATTTTAAAGGTGTGTTTGCCGTGCCTATGAAAATTCATATGTAGTCTTAAGCAGTTCGTACACTAAAATGAATCTTAGCTTCACACTGTCATCCTCAGCTGAGACAAAGCAACACTGTTACAGTTGGTCTTGTTTGTTACCTGCTCCATCCCCATCATCTATCTTCCATGGTGATGGATACTTCCTTTAAACATACAAAAATTGTATGGTCCTATGAAGTCATTTTTTGAAATGAATAATGTTTATTGTGGTATTAAATTTTGGAGAAGTTCACCTTTTACTTATGTTAAAGCTGTCATTTAACTGTGGTTGTCGTTTTACTGTTTTAGCAATATTTTCCGTACTTTGATGTAATAGATTAACATGCTAATACATAATGTAAAATTAAAAATTGGTACGTTGCCTTTTTAAAAAAACGTTTTTACAACAGGACAAAACTGATTTTTTGAAGTCTGGCATTTTGGGCAGCATAAATAAAATGTGTTTAGCATCTAGACTCTTTCGTGGCTTCTAATTCTTATTTAATTATAAAATGTTTGCACACAAATTTTGAGATCATTTCTGTAGATGTTGCTTTGCAGGCGTTGAGTACACTTCCTAGAACTCTTGAGTGTTAGTGTGCACAATACTGTACTTTCCATGAAAAATCTGGGACGGTTCCAGCCTTGACCATTTCCTTTGCTTTAGAAAAGGAAGTCTTAAAACTTGGTATGTTTGCTCTGGCAGTTTGAGGATCACTGTTCTGTAAGCACACGTTATCCTTGAGTTTGCAGTAACAAGACTCGCGGAGGGCACTGGCGCGTGTGCGCGGGAGAAACGTGCCCGGTCACCCTCGTGTCCGCCGAGTGAGTGTCCACAGACCTGGCCCAGGCTAGGCGTTCCTGGGGCATGGAGTTTAGGGGAAGCTAACTGTAGGCACAATCCATGAACAAATGCTCATTTACTCTGAGCGCCCAGGGGCCCCACCTGGGCGCCCCGGCGCGCGCCGCCAGCCAGGCACACCTGCCTCCCGGGACTGACCAGCCGCCGTCCTCGCAGGTGGGCGCTGGGCTCGCTCTCGGGGCGCCGCGATTGGTCGGCGCGGAGGGGCGCGCAGCCTCGTTCCTCTCCCACCCGGGGCTCCTTCATTGGATTGACCCGCTGTCAGGCTGCGCCGAAACCTGCCTTCTTTCTGTGGGGTTTGTCTGGATCGCAGCACAATAGCCGGGGGGAGAGCCTGCCCTCGTGGGCGCCGATTGGCCGGCCCTGGCCTTGGCGCGCTCTGATTGGCCCAATGAAGCAGCACTAAGGTAGGTTGCCTAGGGATCCTGAGGCCGCTGATGTGTTATTCCTTCTCTGCAGCGAAGGATCAGGAAGTTTGCGCGCTCTGCGTGGCTGCGAAGTTTTTAACCTGCTGGGACGGGGGTCGGGGTGCGGGGGAACAGGTGCCGCCCTAAAATTGAGTGCAAGCTGCAGCCTGCGTCCGGCCCTCTCTGGGAGTAACGTCAGGTAAGAAAAGGGGAGAATACATTTCCTAACGTTCAAAAAGATCCAATTTTTAAATAGGGAAAGGGAGGTTTTTACTTATTTTATTTGGGGGCCATTTGTTTTCAGATTGGATTTTTAACTAGTAAATGCCCGGGGGGTGTTATTCCTGAAAGAAAATGCCGTTTCATTTTTTTTCCCCCTGAAATTTGAAGTTTCTTGGGGTGGTTAGGAAATCTCTAGTCACAGTGCCAGGTAGGGCTGGTGTCCTTAAGCATTTACTTCACGGCCTCTTCCTCCACACTCTGCTCCCCGCCTCCCACCAGGAATTGCACTTGAAATACAGCATTGTGCAAAAGAATCTTTTGAAAGTCGCTTCATTTGTATTTCTTCTTTAAATGTTCCCATGCATTTCTGAGTATGCCTTTTAATCAGTGTATATTTATTAAGCAGTTACAACGTTAAAGACATTGAGCTAGTTTCTGTGGAGGATATAAAACCCAAGAAGACAATCTCCCTGCCCTCAAGGAGTTTACGCTTGCGAGACAGCTATACCCCAGGGGAGAGAGAATAAATGCTAAACGGAAGTAAGTACAAAGTCCGTGAAAGCCCAGCTGAGAGGGAGACCAGTTCTGGACTTGAGGTAGACGGGGAGTGGAGAAGATTTAACTGACGCTTCTCGGTGGATCTTCAGTGGGCCTTTGAAGAGTGAGCAGAATTTAGAGAGAAAGGGAAAGGGGAGGGAGAGAACCCCAACAGGTACTAGAGAGCGGTGGGGAAGGCCCGGGGCATGCTTGAGAAATGGTTTGATGACAGCACGTCCTGGGAGTAATGGGAAATGTTGCTAGAAGGTTGAACAGGGCCCAGGCACAGAAGCTCCAGGTGTTTTTCTTTTAAATAATTGCTGACTTCAAATGTGTATTGTAAATCATCTTAAAAACTAACATCTAGCTTTTTCTAAAAGTATGCCAACTTGAAACTTGGATTGGTGTGATCTCTCTTAATAGATTTTTAAAGCAACTATGGTACTTTGATGTTTTTGTAATTGAAAAAAAAAAATTGCTCATCTTTCACGTTCTCTTGCCGGTACTTTTTGTTGGCAGCTGTTTGTAATTTTGCAAGATAACTAGCGAGGGGTAAAGATAAAGGTTTCCAAAGTAATACTGAATTACTCCACAGTATCTGAGCATTATTCTCTAGACTAGTGAGCTCCAAAGCGAGTGTATGAGTCAGGAGGGTATGGGAAGGTGAGAGTAGAACATGGAATTCTGTTTAGTTTTGTTTTTTTACTTTATATTTTTGTGTTTGATTTATAATGTACCATTGAATGAATATGTAAATTATATGCTTTTGGGGACTCGATGCTGACAATTTTTTTGCTGTTTCATATTGTTTAAGGGGGTATCCACTTTGTGAAAGAGGAGTTAAAATGATGAACATTTACTCCTGAGGTATAGATTATACACAAGAAATCAGAGGCTTAAAAGGTGATCATTTCTACTAATCTTCAGAATTACTAATTTGATGTCTTGTCCATGCCTTTGGAATGCCTATTATACTCTGGAAAATATTTGGGGTTACCTATATTATTTTCCTAGTCATTATGCCTTCTCTCTCTATTGAAGTGTGTACATACTCGTTTGCATTTTCTTTATGCATGTATGAATGTCTACGTGTGTGTTGATTTACATAAGCTCACTTACAGACATTTTTCAACATTCTTTCTAGAAACAGCCGAGAATGACTACTTTAACTCACCGGGCCCGTCGTGCTGAAGTAGGCAAGAACTCTGAAAAAAAGGTGGAAAGTGAGGAAGACGCTAATCAGGACAGGAGTCCGGACAATGAAGACGCAGGAGACTCCAAGGATATCCGGCTCACCCTCATGGAAGAAGTCTTGCTTCTGGGACTAAAGGATAAAGAGGTAATGCAGCTGGGTCTGCTCGGTTATCTCAGAGACTCTTACATACTGGCATGTTTGGGGGAAGGAATCTGGAAGGTACTTTCATTAGTGCTAAGCTGGCCTGAGATTTGTGCTCCATCTGGGGGTTCGAGGAGTTCTGGAGTGTAGTTAATAACTTGCAGGGTAAAAATGCAGAATATAATTACTTGAAATATAATTATAAAATTACTCCAAATTTTTAGGGATTGCAAAACATTTTATGACACTGTCTAAAATTTTTGCACTTGTAGTTAAGACTGATGGTATTTAACTAACCTAAAGAGGGTCCTCATTGACGGCTTCTTAAGCTTTAGGGAGAAGAAGTATTTTAGATGAGAAGACAAGGAGCATGCTAATACTTGCTTTCTTACAAAAATAAATGATGGGTATGTTTCTTCTGATATAGCTTTTTGTGTTTCCTATTCTGTGGATCCTTAGAAGTTAAATATTGACAACATTATTTTAATTTTAGAAAATGTTTTTAAATTAATTTCAGCATTCTCAAATTCCCCTTATTACTAGTACATTTATAATAGAATTAGTCTTGAGATAGCAAGTCTAGTGATTGAACCAAATATTTTCTTACTTTTCTACCAATAGTATATATTAACCTTCATTTGCAATTTAACTTGTATTATATTTTCCCTTAATTAATTCTTCCCTAATGAAGAGGTTTGGAATATGTATAAAATGTTATATTTTTAAAAATACTAAATGTGGTTTGTTCAGTTGTCCTTAGCTAGAAATTCAGTAACAACAAGCATCTAATAGTGTCTCTTTTCTACTTTATTCCTCAATTTGTGAGTACCCTTGTGTCCTAAACTTTACATTTGATTTTCTTTCTTTTTTCAAAGATTTATTTATTTATGCGTACAAGAACTGGGGCACAGCCAGAAGTGTGGGGGTTGAGAGGATTCACCAGAGACAGAGTAAGGAGCAGAACAGGCAGATTGACTGAAATACACTGTTGAGGGGAGCAGCCAGGAGACAGGCGAGGTCTGCTGAGCCATGTGGGTTGCTCCCTGGCTGGAGATGGAACTCAAGCTGCAGTGGCTGCAGATAGCTTCATAGTGCTGAGACTTAACCCCTTGCACCACCAGGGAGACCCCACATTTGATTTTCTTTATCACTTTTTTCCTTCTCTTTTTTTTTTTTCATATCAAATTACTAACTGGAACAAAACTTGCTATGGCCTGTGTATTGTTAAAACTAGTAATAGAGACATGCTGTATGTACTTGGCAAGACATAAATATATCAGAAAACCTTGCCTAGAAGTGTATTTTCCTATTTGCTAAAAAAGTTGATAAGACTGTAGTTTTACAAAAATGACAAATGAAAATGCAAAACTGACTCACCAAAAGAATGTCAGAAGAGACCTGAAGATTAGGTGGCATCAACGCTGTTTTGGGATGTGTACTTGGTCTCTAGGAAACATTCACTGACTTTATAAGAAGAGTACATTAGAACTAAAAAGCTATTTGGTTTGTTTTAGCTTTGAATAGAAATGATTGATTTCCTGCTCACCCTAGAATTTTTGCTTCTGGTCAGTAGTAGAGAAACTGCCTTTGGACTTGCCTTTGTGTGTTTCTAAATTATAGTCATTTATTATATTTAAGGAAATAGAATAAAATAATAAAAGAGCTTATTTAGAACTATGAGAGAACCTGTGTGAGCAAAGGTATGCTGGGCGAGAGAACCCGGGTGAGCAAAGTTATCATAAACTTGGTCCGTTTGGGAGGTGATGGAGAAACCAGCAGGAGTGAAGTAGGTCATGTTCGTGACATTCAAAATTGGCAATTAGATTTAGACTAGAGTGTGGAGGATTTTGAGTGCCAGGCAGACTTTAGATCCTTTCCTCTGAGTAAAATAAGATCATACTTAATGAAAACAGCAAAGTTCATTTAATCTTTCAGTTCAAATTAAAGACTTTTGATATTTTTGCTCTAAATTCCTTGTGAGTACATGTTTTGATGTGTATATAATTACTTGTTTTTACATGGTTTGAGGTTTGTGACATGTCAAAAAGAATCCTCAATATTGAACTCTGTTTCCCAAAGTTAACTTTTGCTGAAGATTTCCATAAGACTATTTCAAACCTAATACTATAATACTTAAAAATCTGTTTGAAAAGACATTGAAGTAGGAAGTGATAAAGAGAGACTAATCTTTCAAGAACTGTAGGCTGAGGGAGGCGTGCTAGTAGGTCATATATCAAGTCACGCATGCTGTTCTATTCATCCCTCTCTTAAGATTCTTTAGAGGAGAAGCTGCCACAGCCTGATTTTAAAATATTAAGTTTCATTGTATTGTGAAAATGATCAAGACATTTATGTATAATATATAACATATTTACATATTGTCTGCTGAAGAGTCTAACCTTTCAGTACATTTAAAATTAGATGTTATCTCTGTTTAGTAACACTGACCTCAACAGAGAGAATCAAACTTGAGCCTGACAAAATAACTACATTTATTTCATATTGCAATAAAAAGCCTGTTTGTCATTATTACCTTTGGTGGAAATTTTTTTTTTTTTTAGATTTATTTATTTATTTATACAAGCACTGGGTACAGTCAGAAGCACGGGAGAGTGAGAGAATTCACCAGAGCCAGAGCAGGGAGCAGAGCAGGCAGAAGGACGGAAGTACGCTGCTGAGGGGAGCAGCCCGGTCTGCGCGCCATGTGGGACCCTCACCCGGTGGCCGGGGAGCAGCTGGGGATCGAACTGGCGCTGCAGAGGCTGCAAGCAGCTTCGCAACCCAGCGCTCAACCGCTGCGCCACCGGGGTGGCTCTGGTGGAAATTTTTATATAAACATTATTAACTCACGTACAACTGATACTTCAAATAAATGCTTTAATTGCTAGTATATAAAACCTCTCCTTTATTAGAATCTTTATTATTAAGTTGCCTCCTAAGAGGAGTAAGCCCTATTAATGCTTTTGGCTTTTGGCCATAATCTTTTTAGTTTGTGGACAGTGTTTTCTTACTCACTTCCCTTCCTTGCAAAGCTTTCTCCTGGCAATGCCATCTGTTGAGTACTTACTGTTCCCTGAGACACAAAGCTTTTCATCATATTTTTCATGTCACTGGAGCAATATTTCACCAGAAGTATTGTTTGTTAAGAGTATTACTGCAGGGCCTCCCCTGGTGGCGCAGCAGTTGAGCGCTGGGCTGCGAAGCTGCCCACAGCCTCTGCAGCACCGGTTTGATCCCCAGCTTGATCCCCAGCTTGATCCCCGGCCGCCTGCGAGGATCCCACATGGTGCGACAGACCTCTCCTGCCATGCCCGCCTCTCCCCTCAGCAGTGTATTTTGTCAGTCTGCCTGTTCTGTTCCCTGCTCTGGCTCTGGTGAATTCTCTCCCCTCCCGTGCTTCTGACTGTACCCAGTGCTTGTATAAATAAATACATAGATAGATAGATAGATAGATAGATAGATAGATAGATAGATAGATAGATCGATCTTTGGAAAAAAAAAAAAAAAAAAGAACGTTACTGCAGGGGGCCTTACTACCCCAGCCAGATAAGACACTGGCAAGCAGCTAAGAAAAGAACGTTACTGCAGGGGGCCTTACTGCCCCAGCCAGATAAGACACTGGCAAGCAGCTAAGAAAAGGGCCTCACACAATGGGGCCGAAGACTTTTAAAAAGCCTCACACAGTAGGGCTGAAGATTAAACATCCCTTTGTTTTTTTGTTCTTGGTCATAATAGAAAAAACTTCTCAGAATATACCTTGGGCAATAAACTATACGTATAAAAATATTGTAAGAACATGGCACGGAGAATTACTTGCTTAAAAATTAACACTGAATAATTTGGCCCACTTGACAATGGGAAATAATTATTGTGCAAGGGCATGCCTGATAAGCAGCCCAGAGCTGGCTGCAATTTTCCTTATGTGGAAGTTCCGTAAAGAAGCCTTGTAATGATTCATAGAGTTGATTACGATAGGAGTTTCTAGCTAGAAAAAAGTTCTAATAACTGATTACCAGGAAGCAACTGGTCTCTAGCTGCAGGCCCTATAAATAGAGGAGTCTCCTGATATTGTAGCCTTGGCGGATAGGGAACGTACCAAGGACTACAGGCTGTCTTAGGTAGTTGTTTAGGCTGAAATAATGAGCCTAAGTTTTAATTATCTATTAACTTTTAAGGTCGCTTCTTTTCTCAAAATCTGTAGGCGCCAAAATGTCTGTGGGAAAGGAATGTACTGATTGTTTCTGTTTTGCTTCTATGCAAAAGGTGATGTAAACCCACCGCTTGCCATAATGTATAAATAAAGACCCGCTGAGACCCTCAGCAGGAGATACTTGCACCAGATAGTGTCTGTGTCTGCCTCACCCACCTTCCCCTCAGCCCTCAAGTTGGCCGACGCGGTCTCATCCTTTCAGGGACACCTGACCCGACATTTTGCCAGAGCTGGTCTTCGGCAGAATGTCTCTTATGTGTCAAGTGAGGGCTGTTGAAAGAGAACCAATACAGTAGTCCCTGCTTTTGAGATAGTCTAGGGGTATGAGAGTAACTGGAGATGCTGGCATCAGGCAAGTCCCCAGGCTGCTGCAGAGGCAGCTCAGTCTCATGGAGCGCACAGGGGAAAGGCTCCTGGCTCGGGTGAGTGACGGAAGTGGTAGTGAAAGAGGGAAGGAGAATTACTTGGAAAAGACTGCTACAAGGTGGGAACTCTTGACCTGAATTCTGAAGATGAGCATCAGTTCGTCTGTGGAGAGGGACAGGTTCTGGGAGAAAAGACCTTCAGCTGCATGTTTATGATCATTTCAGTGACTTGCAACTGGAATAACCTCAGAGATTTCAGAGCATTCCAGCTCCTTTAAATGGAGTCAGGTGTTTGAAACCTAGTTACCAAACAGCTAGATGTCCAGTTACGTGTTTTATTGTTCAGCTCTCCTAAAATTATGAAATACAGTATATCCAGAGACATATATAAAACACATATGCAGAATTTAACAAGTAATTTTAAATCA